TGAGCCGGAGGCAGACGCTTAACCGACCGAGCCACCTAGGCTTCCCTAAACTGGATACTTTTGAGAGTAAAAATGGGCAGTATTAATGACTATGCTGGGACAATGTGGGCAAGCTGGGTTTTATGGTCAGCTTTTTAAAAAACTGACTCTCCCATATGGCAATATCTGTACATATTCATCAAGTTAGCAAATAGAAATAAACAGAAATGTGCAAAGATTTATCTGCAATAATGTTCATTAAACCTCTGTTTTCCTTAAACCTTCAATTCTACTTCTTCCTTCTCCTATCTGAAGCAGACACCCTAACACACCAAACATAATAGAAAGAAGCAATTAAGTGGGAACTTTACTATTTCCTTGGCAAGAACCTCTAAAGTAATCTGTATTTGTGTCCACTCTGTTCATTTTCTCAGGTTATAACAGATATCTTTTCACTTAGATTACTGATGATGAGGCTTATCCCTCCCATTTTCAAGGGACATCCCTCCATCTGAAGCCTTAGCTTTCACCTGTATCTTTAATTTCTGTCTCCTTTCTGTGGTACTCTTCTCCTTGATACATCTATCCCATTATATTAAAAAAAAAAGGACAGAGAATACTCCCTTGGAAATAGCCCTGACAGATATAAAAACTTATATTTGGAGTTACAGTAATTAAAAGTCTGTTATAGGAGAAGGGATAGAATAATCAAAGGAAAGGAAAGGAATAAAGAGTTCAGAAATAGAATACACATAAGGATTTGGTGTATGCTAAAAATACCATTTCTAATCAGGGAGAAGAAAGGGTTACTCATTAAATGGTCAAAGATAGGGAGAAATTCATTTGCAAAAACGTATACCTTTCTCTTCCTATCAAAATGAATTCCATTTGGTCTATGGTTTTAACAGAAAAAGTCAAAGTATAAAAGATTATGTTGCCATGTCCACAGATTATTTGTTTCTCCACTTTTGAGTGTGGACTGCAATTAGTGACTAGCTTCCAACAAGTAGAGTACAAAAGGGAAAAATATTAATTTTACAGTGGAGAAATATAGCAGACCCTTTAATCAAATGATCAAGTTTAACATTACTGGCAATAAGACATGTTGGTATCACACGCTCCCTGATAGGATAAGAAGGGCTTTTTACTTCTGTGGCATACTTCCCCAAAATCTGTATCCTCAGTTTAAACATGAGAAATCATCAGACAAATTCAGATTGAGGGACATTCTACAAAATGCCTGGCTAGTATATATATTGAAAGTAGCAAGGTCATGAGAGACAAGAAAAGATACATGTCATTACACATTTGTCAAATATACATAAAATGCACAATATAGAGAGTGAATTCTAATATAAACCATGGACTTGAACAATGATGTATCAAAACTGGCTCACCAATTGTAACAAATGTACCACACCAATGCCAGATGTTAAAAGGGAATGGGGGAAAGTTACATGGAAACTGTGTATTTTCTGCTCAACTTTTCTTTAAACCTAAAACTGCCAAAAAATTAAGTTTATTAATTAAAAACAAAACAAACAAATACAAAAGGGCAACATGGAAAAAGACAGTGGTTAAGTGCATAGGTTTTGGAGTCTGTCTACACTGTGTCTGAATTCATTAACAGTAATGAAACCTTCAGCAAGTAATTTTAACTCTCATCCTATCTGGGTGGCTCAGTTGGTTAAGCGACTGCCTTCGGCTCAGGCCGTGATCCTGGAGTCCCTGGATCGAGTCCTGCATCGGGCTCCCAGCTCAGCGGGGAGTCTGCTTCCCCCTCTGACCCTCATGATCTCTCTATCTCATTCTCTCTCTCAAATAAATAAATAAAATCTTAAAAAAAAAAACAAAAACAAAGGAGACCATCAATTCTAAAGTCTATGGTCAATTTTGTCTTGGAAATATTATGGTACAGGATCTAGTATAACTCTTACACAAAACAAGTGGCCAATACATATTTGATAACTAGATAGGTATCTTCCTAGTTACATTTTTCACTGTAATTTAGGAACCTGCAAATCTCTGGTGTAATTTCCAAAAACTAACCTGGGTTATAGAACAGTAAAAATAATGAGGCCTTTCCTCGTTTTTAACTTGTCTCTTATAATGAAGCATGTATCTGTAAATGAACAAGTTTCTAAACATGGACTATAACAAATAATTAGTAAAGATCAACAAAAACTTTTGCATGGATTTGAAATGTAAAATGTAATAAAATTTACATTTTAATGGATATACTGAACAGCTAAGAATTTTCAATTATAATATCACACCTTATCCTTCATGACCTTATGAAAATTGTGGGGCAGCTACAATGCCCATTTACAGTAGATACATATGAATTCAGACGATCCCACCCAGGCTCTCAATCCTTCGAACACCAGTCAAGCTCTGAGACTACAATTGGATTTGAAATGATTTGTGAAGTAATGGAAACTGAGCTGTGATGAAAACAAGATTTTTCTTTCTTTCTTTTTTCTGATTAAATGGAGAGATAACAGCCTGGCATAGGCTAGTTATTCTTTAGCACCTAATTGCAGAATTAACATATTTTTATGTTTTACTCTTTCCAATAAAATAATTTTTTAAAGCAAAAATCTGGCATCAGACATCAATAATTAAAGATTATGATGAATGTAGGAAGGGAAGAGATTCAGAGTAGCTGAACTCTAAGCTAAAGGCTTTTAAACACTAAAAAAATCTGTTTTTGATAATCTTATAGTGGCAAGGAAACTAGTTTTCTCTACTTGCAAAGGCATACTGAAAATTATAGTATCGGGAATAATTTTTTAATTTTTAGGTAACCTTTCACATATCCTAAGTCTTGAAAAAATGTACATAAGGCACATAAATAAAGATATTATAGGAGAATTCAGTTCTAGAGTTCAAATATAGCATTATCATCATTCAAAAGAATATTTATTAAATAATTTGTACTATTATTAAAAGATATTAAAATCTTTGTCTTATGATGAATTGTAGTTTAGTGTGTAGAAGTTATCATTTGCTGCTGAAAACTGATGATCTGGTATCAGATAAAAGTAATTCTACTGCTTATACAGCTAGTTATTTTCTTGAAAATATTTGGAACTTGGTAGTTTGATTTCCCCCACGGGATAAAAATTAAAAAGTCACAACCTTTACTCCCTTTCTGAAAACAATCTGATATTCCACTTTGGATATTTGAACAATTAGGCACCTTGGCTGAATTTTAGTAGAGAAGGTCAAAAAGTCCATTGAACTCTTAACATCACCATATCAAAGTCACACTGCCAACCCATTTGTGTCCATCTCTTTGTTGCCAGTAGTGTTAACACTGAGCTATGCAAATGGCAATGATTTAAGTATCCCTGGAAAATGGAAATGCTAATTTTGGTGAAATGTAATTAACACTTGGTCCAAGAATGATTTCAGCTAAATTAGGCAATAGGGCAGATAGCATCTGACTACTTTGATATTTCACAAAACATAAAGTGTTATCTACACATTAGTGTAGTAATACATGCGCAAGTATCAGTAACTTTAAATAAAATTCTAATTTAACATATGGTGGCCAAATCTGACAAATTTCTACTTTCATGAAATATACATAAGAACATCCTTGAATTTGCAATATGTATACTTGTTTATTCTATAAACAAAAATTAAAAAAACTAAACCAAAAAAAAACAAGCCAAATGTGACAAAATGCAAGGTCCTGTAGTGAATCTTTTTGAATTTTTAAACTTTCAAGTAAAACAAAACAAAGACCATCCAACTGCATTATTATTTTTGCTTAAGAGAAAGGGAAGTAATGAGGTATTTTCACAAGTCATTGTGATGGTTCTAGGAGCACCCATAACACGATAAGCCTCTAACGTTAATTTTAGACCTTGCAGAAAAACTCCTGGCTCCAAATATAATCTGGTGACTCGGGTAGCGCATATGGATGTTAATCATGCTGTGACTAGGATGGATGGTTGCAAAGACGAAAGTCAGGGCACAACCAAGAAGAAAAACTGTGCAAGTATTATTTTATCCATTTCCAACAATGCAACAGAAAACACCCGAGCTTTGGGATAAGAGTTAGGGCCAGGATTTGGAAGATTCAGCTCGGGACTCCACCGGAGGGCCGTGTTGATAAGTTTCCTCCGCCCGTGACCTTTAGCCTAGTTGTCAATTCTTCCAATGGGGGCAACTCTAGGGGGAGAAATCTAGGGTCCACTGCCAGGTGTAGACAGCGTGACTTTTACCCGAGTTTAACCTGAGGACGTCAGGAGAGCAGGTGAAGAAAGGTGGGTGCCTAGATCCCCCCAGGTGCAGCCCTGTCCGTTTCGCCCTAACTCCTCGACCTTCCTCCACTTATCCCCGCCCGGAGTTCCCTCTCACCCGGGCAGGACAGCTTGGCTAGCGGCACCAACATATTCACTGGTCCCAGGACTGTCGGTGGGACACAACGGAGGGGCTGTCTGTGGCTCTCCGCGGGTGCTGGACCTCTAGGCCGCGGGGGGCGCCATCACCTGCCGAAAAAGACAAACACCTCCACTGAAGTTTGCCTCCCAGCTCTGCCCAAGGCTTCGGCTTCACGGTGCTCCCGCCTCTTTCTCGCTCTGCGCCGGCGCTGCACATGACGCTACAGCCAGCAGAGACATCCGGGTCACGTTCCGAAAGAGGAAAAGGAAAGGGACTCCAAGTCCCAGCACGATCCCGGATTCAGGCTGAAGATTGGTTCTCCGTTTGCGTCTCACCAAGGGGTGGTGAGGACGCGGGAGTGCAGGTGAGAGAGACCCACAGATCCCGTGGTATACGCGCGCATCAAAAGTAGTGGGAGGGGGAGCGACGCATACAGCATTCTGGGAGTTGTAGTCCTCTACTCAAGCGCCTTCTGAGCCTGACTGGAGTTTTGCGCAGGAACGATGAACCGCCCAAGGTGATTGGCTGTCCCGAAAACATGACTAGTATTCGCGGACTTGGGCAGAGACCCGCAAGGAGACTGGGCGGGACTTCAGGCGGGAGGAGGCGGGGCTTCTGGGTGTTGGGCGCGAGCAGTTTGAAAGACAGTTGGTGTTGGTTCGGCTGCTAAGGTCCGATTTCGCAGTACCTGCCCTGCTCAATGGCAGACCCTGAGGAGGTGCGAATTTCTTCGCCGCCCCCGCCGCCTCCTTCCTCTCCCTCGTCTTCAGACGCTTCGTCAGCATCTTCCCCCGGCGTTCCAGTGAGTTTGGGCTGGCCAGTTGCGAGCAGGAGCAGCGGCCGAACGGTGGACCCTCTGGAGGAAGTAGAGCTGCAGATTGGAGACGTGAGTGTCGCTCGACCGGTCTCGGAGCCGCGTCCCCACTCGGCCCTTGTTGGAAGACAGACCGTTGCTGTGCAAGGGAGGGAAGGACCAGGAATCCGCATCTCGCCCTTCTGCCCCCTGAGGGTGTGGGCTGGGGGGGTGGGTAGGTAAACCGGAGACCCGAGGCCCCTTGTCCACCATCCATGAAGACTCCGCCTTTAGAATTAGTGTTGAGGAGTCAGGGGTTATCCCTCCATCCGCCCCACCCCTCACTGTTTTCTTTTTGTCTCGCCTTCTGGTTTCAATCATCCTCTGTAACCTGAAACCACGCAGCTTTGCTGCGCCGACGCGTGCTGGCGGTGTCTGCCCTCTATTCCTCCTCCTTGTCTGTTGGTGCTTAGGAACAGGCTGTGATTTCTTTTCGTGGGTCTTAAGATCCCGCTGCTCTAGTTGGCCACCTGCCAGAGCCAGCTGGCAATGCTGTGATTGCCTGTCTCAGGCTTGCTTCGCGCTGCACCCATTTGGTGGGGTTTGCTTAAGGCGCTTGTAGTCCAGATTGGTTTCATGAACGGCTAGGTCAAAGGCCCCTCCCTATGACGGCTGGAGTGCAGAGTATGGTTTCTGTTGAATCTCGAATTCCACTGCCACACGCACGCGCACACACACACACAGACCCACACACCCACCCACACCCACCCAGAGGAGTTTCAGTATATAAGGACTCTTGGGTGAGTCAAGTGAATGAGGTATGTAGGATGTAATCTTCCTGGGAGAAGTTTGTGGAACAGACCCTCCTGTGCAGATTGGAAACTGGGTAATGAACTCGATTATCTCTCATTGCTTAATAAGTATTTTTTTTAAAAAGGTAACTAAAGTGCTGATACAGCTTCTGCTTTTGTTGAACAAGACTGGCATCAAGAGAATATGTAGAATGGACTGCTGATAGGTTATCTAGAAACAGTGTTATTTTATATTCTAGGTGAAGAAAACATTTGAGTAAGAAGTGAATTCCACGAAGAGTTGGATATTTTCTGTGTGCTGCTTTTGTTTGTTTTGATTTTGTTGATGTTATTTGTCCCTTCAGAGTATCTGTTCTTTGGTCTATACATTTTCATGGTCTATATAGTGTTCACAGATAAAATTAGTGGGACAATGCTCTTGTTACCTAGATATCAGTGAGTTGTTTATGATGAAATCCTTCAGATACTGGTATCTGGTACTTAGTGTCAAGGGATCCAAGTCCTCTTTTTGAGCTAAATGAGTCTAGTGTATTTTCTTTCTTTTTTTTTTCTATTTAAAGATTTTGTGTTTTTGTGTTTGTTTGTGTGTTTGTTTGTTTTAAGCAATCTCTACACCCAGCATGGGGCTTGAACTCACAATGCTGAGATCAAAAGTCACTTGCTCTCTATGACTGAGCCAGCCAGGTGCCCCTGGTGTATTTTAAGTTAAAAAAAAAAAAGTACTGACTTTAAGTTAAAAAAAAAAAAGGCTGGTGCATAATGGGTATCTTCCCAGCAGACGTATTTCCTCAACGCTTACTTCATACTAAATAATTTCTTTGGTTCTCTGAAAAAGCTAGTGTGTCAATTTGAAGATTTCTTTACTTTTATGGAAAATAAGTTGGGCATGGAAGTCAAGGTTTTAAGCTATTTTTAGATTATTTATAAAATGAGATGAAAATCTGAAAGATAAACTTATATTGTTTGACTCTTTTTCTTTTTTTAATTTCAGGCAGCATTTTCACTAACCAAACTTCTTGAAGCCACATCTGCAGTATCAGCTCAAGTAGAAGAGCTTGCCTTCAAATGTACAGAAAATGCACGTTTCCTTAAAACATGGCGGGACCTCTTGAAAGAAGGCTATGATTCTTTGAAACCTGACAACTGATTTGGCTGTGTAATACATACTTCCTCATTTATGATGTTTGAACATGTACCATAAGTATCAGGTTGTCTCCAGCAGTTCTGTGTATTCAGAATGAAAATTTCTGAGTGGTTTTCTCACTTTTGTGGAAAGCAGAATACCGATGCTATTTTGATGCTGGCCACTATTTATCTTTAAATACTTTCTGTCCTCTAAACTTTCATAGACTCTTTCATGAAAGTTAATTTCATCAGTAGATAATGTTAATAATGCTACAGTGTGATCAAACTGAAAGGCTACACTTCCTGGGCCATTGGACTCTCTTTGGCAGATTTGGCAGAAAGTATAATGAAGAATCTTAGGCGGGTGTATCCAATTTCCACCATGATTAAGGGTCTCTATGGAATTAAAGATGATGTCTTCCTTAGTGTCCCTTGCATCCTGGGACAGAATGGAATTTCCGATTTTGTGAAGGTGACTCTGACTCCTGAGGAGGAGGCCCTTTGAAGAAGAGTGCAGATACACTTTGGGGGATCCAAAAGGAGCTGCAGTTTTAAAGTTTTCTAATGTACCACTTCACTGTCTAGACTACAACAGGATTTTAGTTGGAGGTTGTGTATATTGTCCTTATTATCTGATCTGTTATTCAAGTAATATTGAAATGGCCTAAGAAAAAACATCAGTTTCCTAAAGTTCCAAATAGGAATGGTTCACCAAACCCTGCAGCTGTATCCTGATGCTGGATGATACCTGTCTTTGTAGCCCTAAATTGGTTAACGTAAGTTAGCCCCATTGTCTCAGAGGCTCCACTGCCAGTACTGCAGAGCTGCGGGTGCTCTGCACACCGGATGTGTGTTTACTGTGTGTTATGTCACTTCGGGTTCCTTCCCCCAACACCCGACATGCCTAGTCCATCTTTTCCAGTCAGTCACGTCCTGGGATCCAATGTATAAATTCAATATTGCATGTATTGTGCATAACTGTCCTAAAGGATCTTATTTTGTGTACCATATATGTCAGAATATAGTGTACATGGCCATATAATGTAAAAAGACAATGCAACCAACTATCTTAAGTGTCATACCAACTAAAATACCAAATAAATTTTGAACAGTGACTCTTTTTTGAAAAAAAAAAATGTTACCAATAGGAAAAAACAGGTAGACCATTATTCTATTTGATTTCCAAGAAGATACCAAGAATGCCAGAGTTTGAAGTTGAGCTTCATTTTCTGGACCAAGGGAAGTAACTCTAAGGTTACCAGTGTTGGCCCAGCTCCACTAGGCCAACTTCACTGGAACTAGAGATTGTGTCTTCTTTATCTTCGGCACCTAGAACAATGACAGTGTCACACAACCAGTAAATGTTTGTTGAATAAAAGAGTTGACAATACAATTGAAAGCTGTCTTTTCTTCCTGTTTTTTAGTGTGAAAATTGTAACTTTTTCTAAAAAGTATTTTAATCAGAACCTCACTGACTTGAAGGAAAACATTCTTTTTATGGGAATTTGAAATTTAACTGATGACAACTTTTTAAAATATATGATAAATACTTTCTTTTCTTTTTGATGCTTTTTAAAAAGCTTTTACTTCAGAAAATAAAAGCCTGTCTGGAAAGAATGTATATATATATATATTTTTTTTTTTTTTCTCCCTGTTTATTTCTCAGGTTAATTGCTTTGTGATGTTGTATGTTCAATTGTTCTCTTTAAAGTGCCTTATCAAAATTATGGCTCTGTACTATTACTCTTTGAACTTTGCACATAACAATTCTAAATTCTAAATATAATTATTCTAAAGATACTTTGTTTTTAATGCATCAAATTTAAATGATGTGATTGGTTTCATATTATTTGCCTTTAATGACAATGTTCTACTTTACTTGTCCCATATCTCTTTTTGTTGGTTTATGTCATATGTGTCAGTGATTAAGCCAACTAGTTCTCCATAACTTATAGACATCTTTGATATGGATCTTAATTCTTTTGTAGATATGGAGATGTGTACAGAACTATATTCTAAAGCTCTACAGTGGGGTTATAAAAGGGGACAAATAGGTGGACAAAGAATTGTTTAGTATATTAAGTCATAGTTCTTGATTAATTTTTTTAAGTTAAAAATAACACATATGGTGTGTTTATACCAAAGAGATACTTATTTTGATATTAGAAAAATATTTTTATGTGTCATCAGAAGTGCAGTTTTTTAAAATGTACAGAAATAAAAGTGTTCAAAGCAAATTTTATTTCCATTTCTTTGGGTTCATTATTTTAAAACTTTTATTGAAATATTTCAAGCATAAGAGTAGAATATTAGAGGATATATTCCCACCATGCAGATTTAATAAATGTTAGTATTTGGCTATACTTTCTTCGGATCTACATATGTTTGTAAATGTTAGATACATTTGAAACTTTTGTTACCTTTTTGATCCCATCCCTTCCTCTCTCCCAGAGGTAAACCATTGTCCTAGAAGTGGTGTATATTCTAGTTTATGTTCTTATATTTTTAATGCATATGTATGTTTTCAAAGCACTACAAAATACTGTTTTGTGTATGTGGCAGCTAGCCTCCAGAGGGCCATAATAGTCTGCATCCTGGTATTCATGCCCTGTATAGTTTCACACATTGAAGAGTGCTGACTTGTATAATTACTAGGAGATTGAGGAAACGCAGTGTGTGATTTCTGAGGCCATACCTTTGTCCGTTTTTCTATTATGTTTTGTCTTTCCCTTATCAATTTGTAGGTATTACATATTTGAATACTAAGTAATGATCTGTTATCTATGTTTCAACTATCTTTTGTAGTTTGTGATTTATCTTTATATTTGTGGAGTTTTGTGAAATAAATGGTTTTAATTTTAATGAAAATCTTACCAATTTTTCATAAAAGTGCTTTCTGGGTCTTTTGGAAATGTCATAAAGATACCCTCCTTTACATCGTTCCAAAAGTTAAATTTTTGTTTTTAATGTTTAGGTGTTTAATCCATCTGAATTTTGCTTATGGTGTGATTTTGGGATCTTGTTTATTTTTGTATGTGTATTGGTGTTCCTCCAAGTATCAGTATTTTCAAATGCTCCCTCTGTTATTCAGTTACCATATAAGTGCTTGGTTCTGAGCTCATTATTCTATTCTGATCTATTTGCTTAACCCTATGCTAAGATTCCCTATAACTTTTGTTATAACTTTATCATAAGTACGATATGTACTACTTTGATTTTTGTGTGTGTGACTTCCTTCCCCAACCATGTATGTATTTTTTATGTTAGAAAAGAAAAACCATGTTAGTTTATTTCTTACTTTGTTGAATTGTGGTCAGCTGAGGTTAACCCCTGATTTTAGGCAGTGAGCTTTCTGTGGACACTAACTTTATTCCTCAGCACTAAAACTCAAAGCTGCTAGTGTTGGGAGTCTGGTAGGCCCAGAGCTCAGCTCTGTTTAGTTTCTGTTGCCATATGTGGCCCACAGAGAAGTTCATCTTATTTTAAGAGTTGCTTTTTTAAAAAGCATTCCTTTTTATATTTCTTTTTGCTCTGCTTCATGGGAGGGGTTGGGAAGGCTTCAAAACATAAACATTTTCTTAAAGACTTAAATTTTTTTCTTAGTAGCTCATTACCAGCTCTATATGAACCTCAGAGGAAACCTTAGTATTTTGACTAATGTTATTAAAGCCTTAAGAGGCCAAAGTGAATATGATGAATTTTTTTTTAAGATTTTATTTGTATATTTATTTGACAGAGCGAGAGAGAGCAAGAGCACAAACAAGGGGAGCAGCAGAGGGAGAGGGAGAAACAGGCTTTCCACTGAGCAGAGAGCCCAACAATGGGCTTGATCTCAGGACGCTGGGATCATGACCTGAGCTGAAGGCAGAAGCTTAACCAACTGAGCCACCCAGGTGCCCAATATGATGACATTTTTAATATTAAAAATAATGTTTCAAAACTTCTGAGTATGAAATATGTGTTAGGCACCATGCTAGGAGGTTTATAAGCATTATTTCATATTAGCTTTTTGAGGAAAGATACTATTCCTATCTACAGAAACAGAATAGGAAAAAGCCTGATATGAAATAATTTGCCTGTGGGTCCCTTACACCAAAATTAATATGCTTATCTATACCATACCTAGCTACCTAGCTCTTGGTTAGACCTATTAGTATTCAAGCTTACTTTGTGGACTCTCCCCAATCATGATGGTTTATTTTATGTGTCGACAGGGTCACAGGATAGCCAGATTTTTGGTCAAACATTATGGGTGTTCCTTTGAGGATATTCTTGGATGAGATTAACATATTGGTAGGTTGAGTATAGCAGATCGCCCCTGGGAATGTGGGTGAGCTTCATTCAATCAGTTGAAGGCCTGAATAGAACAAAAGCCTGCTCCTCCCCCGAGTAATAGCATTCTACCTGATGGCCTTGGAAAAGTGGCTCAGCTTGCCTGATGATCTTTGAACTAGGACATTGGTTTTTCTTAGTTCTACAGTAGCTTCTGGCCTTTGGATTCGAACTGGGACAGAGTTCTACAGATTTTGGACTTGCCAGCCTTCATAATCATGTGGGACGATTTCTTATAAATCTCTTTATAAATATATAGATTCGGGGTGCCTGTGTGGCTCAGTCATTAAGCGTCTGCCTTGGGCTCAGGTCATGATCCCAGGGTCCTGGGATCAAGCCCCGCATTGGGCTCCCTGCTCGGCGGGAAGCCTGCTTCTCCCTCTCCCACTCCCCCTGCTTGTGCTCCCTCTCTCGCTGTGTCTCTCTCTGTCAAATAAATAAATAAAATCTTTTATATATATATATAATATAGATTCTGTTTCTCTGGAGAATTCTAACACACTATTTAAAAATAGAACTTACACGTTTGTCCAGTCATCCATCATAGAATACTTGTGCTAATAACTGTATTATATTCAATTTTTTTCCCTTAGATTAATTTGAGAGCTCTAAATACTTGAGCAAATTACAACTGGAGGTATAGAAACTTGTTAGAAGGTTATTGCAAATATAGTGATGAGACATGATGTTGGCCCAAATTAAGGTATTCGGAATTGGAATAAAGAGACGTAGATAGATTCAAGAGCTGTTTATTAGATAGAATAATTAGATAATAGAATAATTCGATAATAAATTAGATAGGTGAGTTTGATATGGTGGATAAAGGAGAAGGAAGAGCCAAAGGATGACTCAAAGATTTCTAGGTTGGGCTGTTGTTACCATTCACCACGATAGGGTCTTGAAGAGACTCAGGTGTCGGGGTCAGAGTCCATAATAATGACATTAAAAAGCCAGTGAGATACCCAAGTGTTAATGTCTAGGGGTAGTTGTATGCATAAGTGACTAATTTAGGAAAGAGAATAAGCTAAAGACAAAAATGTGGGAATCATCAGTATATACATAGTAATTGAAACCATAGGATTCAACAGTAGGTAAGACTGCTACTCCATAGATAAGAAAAAGATTTAAAACAGTAAAGGAGGCTTCTAGTGAAAGATTTTCTCTTTAAAAGAGGAGTACATTAGTAAAAATTAAATACATTTTTGAAGTATCAATTCACTTATTACTTTATTAAGCAGTGAAATGCATGGACCTCACTATTCTGGCTGCATATATCCCTTTCCCATTTGTTGTTTTCCTTCAACTTTATCAGTGTCTAAATTGCTAAAAGGCAGTAAATAAGTAATTGCTTTGTGAGAGATTATGTACTAGCCTGATGTATTAGGAGCCCTTAAACTAAAAATAGAAAGAAAAGAAAGAAAGAAGATGAAAGAAAAGAAAAGGAAGGAAGGAAGGAAGGAAGGAAGGAAGGAAGGAAGGAAGGAAGGAAGGAAGGAAGAAAGAAAAAGAAAGAAAGGAAAGAAAGAAGGAAAAAGAAAGAAAAAAAGAAAGAGAAAGAGGAAGGAAGAAAAGTTGAGGTCTTTCTGATATTTATTTTTTAATTTTAAAACACTTTGGTTTAACTTAGAGGATCACTCTGACCTAGAGCATGGTCCATGAGTTTTGGACCACAGTTTTTTTTGTAAGAGAGAAAACTATGACTTGTATCTGCATTAATTTAGTGCTTCTATCGCACCTTTCACTGCAGTTAGTAGGAAATAGTTATATAGTGTGCTAGTAAATTACTTATCAAATTAAATTAAATGGAAGTTATTCTGTTTGGGTGGAAAGATGGAAGAAATGAGTAGACTGAATAGACAAACCAAATTGCTTCTAGAAAATTATTTGAAAATATTTTAATTGCTAAAAATAGTTTCAGATGTATATTTTGTAAATTCACTGCATTCTAAGACCCTTAAACATAGGTTACAATCATAATTTTTGTAGGATTACATATTATCTAGTCTTCATGATTATTGCTTTTTTCTTTTAAAAATTTTTTTTAGAGAGAGAGAGAGCACATGGGGGTAGAGAGAGGGGAAGAGTGTGAGAGAGAATCTTAAGCTGATTCCATTCCCAGCAGGGAGCCCCATGTGGGCTCCACCTGGGGCTGGATCTCAGGACCCTGAGATCATAACCCTGAGATCATGACCTGAGCTGAAATCAAGAGTCGGACACTTAACTGACTGAGCCACTCAGGTGTCCCTGCTTTTTTCTTTTTCAGAAATTCTTCACTAGAAAAATATTTTTCGGGGTGCCTGGGTGGCTCAGTCGGTTGAACATCTGACTCTTGGTTTCTGCTTAGGTCGCAGTCTCAGGGTTGAGCCCCAGGTAGGGCTTCACACTCAGCCTGGAGTCTTGTCCCTCTCTCTCCCTGCCATGCCACGCCCCTCACCCCCATTTGCTAGCAAGCGTTCATGCTCGCACTCTCTCTCCCTCAAATAAATGAAATCTTTAAAAAAATATTTTTCTATTCTATTACTTATTAGTAATAAGACTTCTTAAGAATAATAAGTAATCCTCAAATAATCTTATAAGAGAATTTAAATATGCTTTCATTTTTGTAGGCTTTAAAAAATTATGTAGTCTGAGTAGTTAGAGAATTTATATTTTTTTTAAAGATTTTATCCATTTATCAGAGAAAGAGAGACAGAGGCAGGCAGAGGGAGAAGCAGGCTCCCCGCTCAGCAAGGAGCCCGATGCAGGACTTGATCCCAGGACCCCGGGATCACGACCTGAGCCAAAGGCAGACGCCCAACCGACTGAGCCACCCAGGCGTCCCTTGACTATATTTTTTTAAAGATTTATTTATTTATTTTAGAGAGCGTGAGATAGAAACCTTGGGGGAGTGAGGAGGAGAGGGAGATAAAGTCCAAACAACTCCAAGCTGAGCACAGAGCCTGAGGTGGGGCTGAGATCACAACCTGAGCTGAAACCAAGAGTCAGATGCCCAACTCACTGAACAACCCAGGTGCCTTGAGAATTGAATATTATAAGAAAAACTATAGCTTTCTATTCTGATTTTTTGATGAAAGCATAACCATATTCCTCAGGTAGAAAATTTACTGGTATTATTCCAAGTAAGAACGGAAAGGACTCAAAGCAATCCATATTTTTAATAGAATTAAATTGTAGGCAATTTACTTTCAAAAGAAATCTATACAATTATATATTCAATAAATATATTTTTGATTCCAGTATTTTCATGTTTCAAACATTTTTGGTGTATTTAAAAGTACCTGAAAACATTTTATTCCTATTTAAAGATTTCAAATTATGAAACCAAAAAATTCCAATAGCTCAGAGACCAGAAGAATAACTAGCCAAAAAGTTAATCTCTTATGAACTGGCTGGCCATGCAAAAGGCAGGTAAATCCATCTCTTGATGACAACTACTTCCTCTTTGAAGTAAAACATGTACATGCAGATCTTTCCTTCCTTAACTTCTTGAATCAGTTCATTCTAGCTCTTCTTTCTTTTCCCTCTTGCCTGCTTTATTGAGATCTAACTCAAATTCATCCACCTAACATGTACAATTCAATGGCTTTTAGCATATTCACACAGTTGTTTATCCATCACCACAATCAATTTGAGAACCTTTTTTCTGCCCAAGAAAATACCCTGTACTTTTTAGGCAGCATCCTCCCAACCCAATCACCCTCAGTAATCTCTAATTTACTTTCTGTCTCTATGAATTTGCTTCTTCTAGATATTTCATGTAAGTGGAATCATACAGTATTTGTCCTTTTGTGTCTGGCTTATTTCATACTCATCATGTTGTAGATGATGTGTCAGAACTTCATTCTTTCTTATAAATGGTTGAATAATATTCCATTGTATGTATATACCACACTTTGTTTATCCGTTTATTAGTTGATGGGCACTTGTGTTGTTTCCAACTTTTGGTTACTGTAAATAACTAACACAATGAGCATTTGCATACAAGTACCTGTTTGAGTCCTGTTTTGTATTCTTTTCGGTTTATACCCAGGGGTGAAATTGCTGGATCACATGGTAATTCAATGATAAGCTTTTGAGGAACCACCAAACTGTTCTCTATTGCAGCTGCAACATTTACATTCCAACGAGCAATGCAGAAGGGTTTCAATCTCCACATCCTTGTCAATACTTTTCTTCTTTTTTCTTTTGTTGTTTTAATTACAGCCTTTCTAGTACGTGTGATCTATCTCATTGTGGTTTTAGTTTTCATTTTTCTAATGATTACTGATGTTGAGCAACTTTTCAAGTACTTATTGGCCATTTGTCTATCTTTTTTGTGGAAATGTCTTTTTATGTCCTTTGCCCACTTTTAAATCGGGTTGTTTATCTTGAGTTGTAGGAGTTCTTTATATATTATGGGTATTAACTCCTTCTCAGATATAGGATTTGCAAATATTTCCTTCCATTCTGCAGATTGTCTTTTTACTTTTTTTTTTTAAGATTTTATTTTTAACTAATCTCTATACCCATTGTGGGGCTTGGACTTACAACCCCAAGATCAAGAGTCACACATTCCACCTACTGAGCCAGTCAGGCACCCTACCCTGTCTTTTTACTTTTTTGATAACATTCTCTGGTGCATAAACTTTAATTTAGGTCAAGTCCAATTTATCAGTTTTCCCCTTTTTTTTACTTACGATTTTGTTGTCACATCTAAGGATCCATTGCTAAATCCAAGGTCTTGAAGATTTACCCAAATGTTTTCTTCTAAGAGTTTTATGTCTTATATTTAGGTTGTTTAATTTTGAGTTAATTTTTTGTATATGGTATAAGGTAGGGGTCCAACCTCAATCCTTTGCATGTGAATATCCAATTGGCCCAGCATCATTTATTGAAAAGACAGTTCTTTCTTCCTTTGATTGTCTTGGTATCTTTGTTGAAAATCAATTGACTGTAAATGTGAGGATGCATAGAGAAGTGCTATTTTGAGTTTATATCAGAACATCTTTTTTCAGAGTAATATTGTGTATTACCTCTCAAGCATACAGGGACTTCAAGAGAGGTAAGATGAATTCTTAAAACAAAATATCTATTTTGCCAACAATCAGACATTTTTTCATTCCTCATTTTTCATTATATTGAGTATTCCAAAACCTTAAACCTTTATTTACAAGTGTCCATGATTATTGTTTTGCTGATATGCATGACAGACAAAGCTCTACCTTAAACTAAGAACTGCAAATGGCCTTTGTATATTCTGTTGCAGCTACACGTAATTTGACATTGCAAATTGAAAACGTTCTATGCTGTGCACTTCCAGAAATTTACTGCAGTGCTACGTGCATAATGGGTACTCGATAAATGCATGGTAAAAGAATGAATAAATCTTTCTGAAGTAGATTTCTCTTAATTTCTTATGCAAAATATGTACTAATATATACACATTATCGATATAATTTATTTCCCTTTATACGGGCCCCCATCACTTTGATTTTTCAAAAATAACCTCATGTCCTTGTAATAGCTTTATCTTAGCCATTATAAATTATTAATTTTGTGGCATTCATTTTATACTAATAAATCCATCGTGAAGCATCCCACAATATTCTCTGCATAGCAATGGGTTTCAGAGTCAGTTATGAATAGGAATTGAGTCTAGTTGATTGAGAAATTAGTGACAATTCACAGGGGTCTGTGAAAAGAGCTGGCTTTATTAACTCAGATGGTATCTCTTGCAGTGGCCACATTTCTACCCAGATGAATGATGGAGCATATGTTTTCTGACTTCCTTTGCTGTCAATAGATCTTCTTTGTCTGTAGTTATACCAAAACTGATGGATCATTTCTTTGAATGGTCTTGTGGTCAGAGTATACAGAATTGGGTTCAAAGCACTGTTGATAGGCAGAATAAAGATCACTACCCAAGAGGTTATGGTACCTAGAAGAGAAAAATGCAGTAGCTTTAGTGTTCAGGGATGTTTACAAGGTACAGAAACCCCTTTCCCTTGTTTCTCCCCCAGCCCCCTTTTGAGTCTCAATTTTTTCCCTTTGATGTCACATAATTAAATACCAAGTCTAATGTGTTTCCAGGATGTCTTTCCAGGGTGCCAGTGTTTGAGGGGAGTGCTGGTGCTGCAAAAAAACGGGGTTCTTTGCTAAGTAGCTTTTCTTGAATACACCCATAAAAGTATTCCATTAGGTAGGAACATTTTCCACCAAGTGATTGCATATCATTGTGATATGATTCCATTTTAGGAAAAGCAGTATCATTTAGCATTCAAATCATACCTTTTCCAATATTTTAATTGCTGGATAGTACATATAGTGTTTCTCAAAATATATAGATAGAGTTCTGCTATTTCTTTGGTTTTAAAAATAGGTATGCATTTTTAGACTTTTGACTAGATATTTATTTCAGTAAAAACATTGCTGGCTAAACTTATCTTAAAAATCACTATAGTATATAGGTAACTACCAAAAACTCAGATTTGTTATTATAATTTAATTGATGCTATTTTCCCTCTTTGTTGTTTATAAAATGTAAGATACTATTACCACCAATCACAGGATAAAACAAAATTAAAATTGTATGTTTATAACTTTTAAAAATGTGAATATATACTGCACTATCCTTATAATTAACAGCATTTTGCACATTTTTTGTTGTGATAAAATATACATAACATAAAATTTACCGTTTTAATCATTTTTAAGTGTGCCATTCAGTGGCAATAAGTACATTCATAGTGTTGTGCAACCATCACCACCATCCATCTCCAGAACTTTTTCATCTTCCCCAATGGAAACTACATATCTATTAAACAGTAACTTCATTCCCTTCTCCTCCCAACCCCTGACAACACATTCACAAACTTTCTGTCTCTATGAATTTGACTACTCTAGTTACCTCATACAGTGGAATCATACAATATTTTCCCTTTGTGACTGGCTTATTTCACTTAGCATGATGTCTTTAAGGTCCATTCATGTCGTACCATGTTTCAGAATTTCCTCCCTTTATAAAGCTGAGTAATAAACCATTTTGTGTGTATAACACACTTCGTTTATCCATGCATCCACTGGTGGACACTTGGGTTATTTCCAGCTTTTGGCTCTCGTGAATAATGCTGCTATGAACATGGGTGTACCAATGTCTGTGTGAGTTCTTGCTTTTAATTCCTTTAATTCCCAGAATTAGAATTGTTGGGTCATACAGTATTTCTAGGTTTAATTTTGTGAGGAACCACCACGCTGTTTTCTATAGCAGCTCCTTATCAGTGATGCACAAGAGCTACAATTTCTCCAAATCCTCACCAGTTTGTGTTATTTTCTGTGTTTTTGATAGTAGCTATCCTAATGAGTGTGATGTACATTATTTTTAAATACCAAGAATGCATTCTTCAATAATCTCTCACACTCTGGGGTAATGTTCTCTAAATTGCTATGTAACCTGGGAAGAAAAATGTCTTATGTTCCCAAAAACAATGAAGTAAAAAAAAGAAAAAAAATGAAGTAAATATTCGATAATCATTTTTACCTGTTTGGTCATCTTAAGCATGGCATTATCAGAATTACAGAACACAGAGTGTTATTTATTTGAGTCGTTACTTTGTTCCAATAATAATTGTGTTTTAGGCATTTATGGAAATAACTGAACAGTTTCCTCCCAGTAAACTTTTGATTGATGAACAGAGCCTGAAGTACATATAACTCTGACTTACAATTCTTAAAATGAGTTGGTGTTAAGGATCTTAATTTTCTTTCTTAGAGGAACACTGCAGAGACAGACTTATTAATTTTTTACAGAAAGAAAAAAAAAGTTGTACCTGGTATTTCTACCTGAAGCAATGAAAGAAATTTCAGTACAAAAATGGGTATCCAGCATAATGCATCAGTAAATACAATAAAGAAAAACCGTTTGGCAAGGATCATCTCTTTTTTAACTTGATTCCGTATTTCAGTTGCTGTTATGGCACTTTGATGAACGCTGTAAAACATGCTTCCATAGGAAAAGACTATGATGATAAATGCCGCCAAGTTAACACCTGTTTAGAACGTAAAGATTATTATTGATGTGTATTAGCATCCTTTCAAAACAAACACACATACTCTTAGCTGTTTGAACATGAATATGTTTTTTTGTTCTTCATAAGAATTACTAAGGTACACAAAAATAATGAATTTTTTAAAAATTTGAAGTAATGTTGAACTAATGAGGAATAAAGGAATTTTAATTTTAAAATGGCATATTAAAATGAGATTATAGTGATTCAATGACTATCCTGGGTCTTTTAAATTAATCTTTATAATTTTTTTAAATCATTCAATTAGTTTAAGTTATACTTTGAGAATATATATATATATATATATTTTTTTTTTTTCTTTACCCTCCCCCGGAGAATATTTTTTACAAGAGAAAAACACTTGTATGTCTATTTTCAAGGCAAAGACTTGTGTGGCTATTTTGAATTTTTTCATATTATAAGTGCAAAGGGTTAAAATATGTTTTATTTAGTATTATTAGGGTGACTGCACAAGATACAAGTATTTACTGTTTTGTCTTTTATTAAGGAGCATGTTGGAATTTATATGATAAAGTGGTCATTCAGGGCAAAAAATCCCTTTAGGGATATTCTGACAGAATCCGTCCCAATGTCAGTGAGAAAAACTGGTTAGAAGATCTGAAATAAAAATTTATAAACATTAGAAGAAATAATGAGACTGACATTATGATTTATTCTAGTCATTAAATAAAAGGACTTATAATCCAGAGTTTCTCACCAAGAAAAATTGTCACTGAATAAATCTGGGCTCCAGTACTTCCGGTATCTTCTGAATGAAGAGGGAAACACACTCCATTGGTGCCATAGTAGTTTTTGAAAAATTCCTTATTGGTCAATGGAATGAGAGCCACTATAAATCCAGCAATCCAAATAAGAATCAGAACTGTAATTGTTCTGCATTTTCTAGGTCTTAAAAACCTAAAAGGATAGACAATGCAGATATATTTTTCCAGTGTCAGAAATGTTAGAAGTAACACTGATACTTCAGTGGACAGAATGGCCAAAGATCCCACAAGCTGACAGTGAATACTCTCCATCCACAGCTGCGCATGCTTGTTGTATTCTCCACGAAACTTTAGGTCAAAGGCTCCAATCAGAAACAGATATATTCCCATTAGGCAATCAGCACCTATAGGATCAGTAGATGTTGCAAATTTAGAGAAATAAATAGGTATAATGGAATTAACAATAAGCGGTATTATTTTTAGTATTAGCGAAAAATGCCTAATTTACTTCCATCTTGGGAGGAGGTACTTTTTATTCTAACAGTTCATTTATGGGTAAGGACCTCTTCAGCAACTCTCTTCAAAAACCACTCTTATAGCACCCTCTATAGCTAATTGTGTAATCATTTCCTCTGTTTTTTAAAATTTTCAAGTCTGTGTGAGCAGGGATTTTGTCTGTTTTGTTTTCCATTCTGGTCTCATCACCTAGAGGTGTTGTTGAGTAAATGGATAAAATGCAATTATGTTGAGGGGCGCCTGAGTAGCTCAGTCGGTTAGGTGTCTGCCTTTGGCTCAGGTCATGATCCCAAGGTCCTGGGATTGAGTCCAGAGTCAGGCTCCCTGCTCAGTGGGGAGTCTGCTTCTCCCTCTGCCTGCCACTCCTCCTGCTTGTGCTCACTCTCTCTCTCAAATAAATAAATAAAATCTTTAAAAAAATGTAATTATGTTGAGCATTCGATTAGGGACCAATATAAGGATGTTATTATTTGGATCACCTCTTCTGCTGAAATATGCTCCTAGCTTAACAAACTAAAGATATTATCCAAAATCCTAGAGGAAATAATTCAGAAGTTGTTGTGATAGACTAATGACTATGAATTTTGGGGTCTATACTTTAGAAGATATGAATAATTAAGAAGAGCTCTATAGGGGCACCTGGGTGGCTCAGTCAGTTAACATCTGCCTTCAGTTCAGGTCATGATCCCTGGGTCATGAGATAGAGCCCCACATGGGGCTCCCTGTTCACCGGGGAACCTGCTTCTCCCTCTCCTCTACCACTCCCCCTGCTTGTATTCTCTTGCTCTCTCTCTCATATAAATAAATAAATAAAATCTTAAAAAAAAAAAGTGCTCTATAGTCAGTACAATTTTGAAGGGCTTGAGTTATTTACCCAGAGCTGGTCTAAGCAAACCTGTTCTCTCTGATTCTCTCTTCTCATTTTTACATCTTTCTCTGTCTCTTTTTAGGCTCCCCCATCCCCCAAATCAGTTAATGTGATGCGCTATTTGGTGATTTTGCTTTTTAAGCAAACATTTCATATCAGAGAGTAGGTGAGATTTTTTGACTACACAGGCATTCTACACAAGGTTTCTGAAATCACTTCACTGTATAAATCATAAAGCTGTCCCTAATCCTTAAAACACTGAAGTTATATTCTAGCCTTCACCAGAGAAATTGAGCATACTCAAAATTTTGTAATTAACAATACAAAGTAGTAACCAATTTCTGACTTCTATTTCTTAGGTAGCTTGCAATGAATAAAACAAACATTAAACTTTGAATGGGGGGGGAAGAAATGGACAGCACACATAAAGCAAAACATCATGTAGATTGATACTCGCTGGAGAAAGTATGGATACATTGTAGGCCACTTGACCCACACTATGAACAGCCTGAGCGACCACTGGTTTCTTGCTTATTTTCCTTTGTAGTCCTCATTTAACACAGTACTCTGCAGTCACATTTCAAAAACTTTAAAAAATTTAATACTATGTAAAAACATTTTCTTATTCAAATATTTCAAATTATGAATGGAAGAGATTTTAGTAGCGCAGAAACCAGAAAAACAGCTATGAGTTAAGTCAATATCTATAATCCATACATGCAAACAAAAAGTAAATACAATTCTGAGTGTAAAAATGTGACCGTGAAACGCTGCCATTTTATTCATAGTAGAAGAGTTTATATGCTTTAACAAAACATGCCCTCAGAGAAGAAAACTAACAAACGAGATATTCTTTATGAGACAAAACTAATAAACAAGAGCTTCATTAATCTGTGTAAGGTAATTGAATTTTCCTGTTTTAAATACTTAGTTTCTTTCTCGCCAAAGTCATTTTATTTTCATTACAGTGAATGTGAAAACAACATATAAGCAAAAAGGAGAAAAATGTAAAATCTTGTAATTCTACCACTCTGTTTACTTATTTTCTAATACCAGTGCTTTTATGTATTTCAAAACTATAATTCCTCTTCAATCAGGAAATACTCACAGCAGAGAGAAATGATTGACATGGCATGTAGCTTGTTCTCAGACCTGATGTAAGGTCTCATACAAATGACAAAGATGTTTCCAAAGCATGTAACTGCAGATACAACCCAGACAAACACTCTCTGAATAATGTTTGCCAAGAGGTTTTCTAGAGATGAGATCCCATCAGTGTTTGGTTTACAGCTGCGAACATGGGGTGCATACCCACAGTACTGGAATTTCTTAAAATATCTGATGCACAAAGAGAAAGTTAAATAAGATTTTAAATTTAATTCAGTGCCACTATACATTCATATTTCTTTTCTACATTTTCTCAGTAGAAAGAAAATGTCTTAATATGAGCCTCACAGTCATGTAAAACATTAAGGATACTAAAGGTTTACATTTTAATTCTTGTGAACTTGATTTCACTGCAAAAGAATATGTGGGTCAGAGCAGCAAATAGGCATCATGAATATACAAGTGTGCGACATGCCTCAAAACATAAATAAACCATTAGCATGGGATCAAGAGAATTAATCCATCTAAAGGAACTTTTATTGGATTTTTAGTGTTTACGTAGCTCCTATTTTTGCTTCAACTAATCTTTTCAGCCCTCAGGGGAAGAGGAAGCCAAATGTTTTCTCCTCTGGCTTCCGAGGCTTTTCTACTATAGAAGTTATTATGTGAGCTGTACCTGCCTGTTCACATGCTTATCCCTCGACCAGATTTTGGTATGTAATAAGGTGTCAATAAATATTTGTTCAGTTAATTTTTTCATCAATAGAGAGACCTCTCGTGTTGATGAGGACACTACCCAGATAATCAGTAATGACTACTGTGTTACCAGCAACACCAACACCATTTATTGAGCATCTTCTAGGTATCAGGAATCAACTCTCAAATCACCTCCATGAGCTAGTTATTAGCATCACCATAGGAGGAGATGAATCTTCAGTGGAGGCAAATTATGTGCTATGAAATTTTCTAATAAATGTAGAAATTGATTGAAGTTCAGATTAGATCTATTTGCCTCTAACGCTATGTACTCTGGCAAAAATTATAAATCATTACAGTTTAGAGAGTTGGAGTAATACAAGATAAAAGCTTGACAATTACAATTACAGTATATTGTCCTGTTTTTAACTCTTGCTGCCTGAATCCTTTAGATCTGATATGGTTTCTGCCCAATTCAAGTCTGTTCCTTGAGTTGTTTCTTGGGTTTTATGAGGTATACCATTTTCTCCCAATAAACTCTGTTTGGCTTACATTAGTCCGAGTGTTATATGTTGTGTGCAATTAAAGAAACTTTTATAAGCATCTCTCTGAAGAGTTATGGAAAACAAAAGAAATGTCCTGCATTAGACTTAAAATATAAGCAAAATTATAGAGTGGTGTTGGCTGACATGACACTTTCTAAATTGTCGAGACTTAATTACTCTGGCACGGAGATCATTCTAACCTCTGCTATAAGACTGCATTCAATTAAAGAAAAATGTTTCCAAAGCATGGAATCAATGGTACCATAATACACACTGTTTGAATGAAAGATTTTTCAAAGCTTGCTATTTTATCCATACACACTTGTTCCAATCATGTCCCGACATTGGAGGCAATTTTTACTGAGGAGGATTTCTCCATACTTTCCTCATTTACAGCAATTATTTACTTACAGTTATTTAGTGTTGCTTATATAAGTTCCTATTTCTTCATCTGGTAACACTTAGACCATGTGTGCGAATTACTAGCTCATCAGACAAATATCACTATGTATGAATGTTATCAGAGCTAAGGAGAGCTTATAAGACTGAGTGTGTTCTCTCCACACTCATGTTCTCTGACATTTAAAAAATCACCTTTGATTCTACCAAACCATGGAACACTAAAAATCATCCCATCCAATAGCAACACTTTAAGAATAATATTGTTTAGGCAAATGAGTCCGCGGAAAATCTGATAGATTGGATGCATTGGGTATGGATGTATTAGCACAGTGCACATGGAAACATAAAAGATTGAAATCAAGGTGAAAAACAAGAAAAACATCTGCTTACATGTGAGAGAGATTCATTAGAGGTCTAAACATCCTTTGTTGGATATTTGAAATTTCAATTCCTTCTAGGCTGCTAAAAATATCAAATTAATTATCAAAATAACATACATTACAAGGGTGTAATAAAACGAGTTTTTGTGAAGGACAGTTTAATAAAATGCTGTCAGTTAACACCGATTGTGAACCAAACATTAATACTCAGCCTGCCCTATGCACTTACTTCCCCAACTCCTTTTTGATTCTGACATTTTTACACAAATATCTCCTCCATTTGAATTTTTTTTGATCCTTATAGATCATAACACATGCTTTGTGCATAGTAACTATTCAATAAGGGTTTGTGGAATAAATGAACACACATTATCTTTTAGATAATATTACAATAGCAGAGAGGTTTGACATTTTTCTAGTAATTTTTAAATAATATATTTTTTTCTAATAAGATGCCATTTTACTGAGAGAACATTTAAATTAAATGAACTGAAGCTTATATTTTAAAGGCAATTCTTAGACCATAACAGATTTGTGTGTGTGTGTGTGTGTGTGTGTGTGTGTGTGTATGTGTGTGTGTGGTGTAAGTACTGATTTATATAATCTAGAATATTGCATCTTTGGGATAACAAGGGCTATAATAAAATCCTAGATACCAGTGTTAATGGAGAAATGAATATGCAGAGTTGCCTTCGGAAGATCAAAGCAAACAATCTAATATAAGCTCCTGGTGATTACAGAAAAATGTAAAATCATTATCTGATTTTTAGTTTATAAATATGTAAGATAAAAGTTCTTGTTCATAGTCTAGTGAGCACTGATATGGTTTCGTGGTGTTTAACGCATATCCCAGGAATAAAGTTTCTGATTTGAAAGAGTGTACAAATTTTATTTTATAAAATTTATTAGCTATTAGTATATAAATAACAATTTCATCATAAAACTATCCCCATAGGTATATACTTACAGAGACTTGAGTTTGACAAGATAATCAAATTGATCTGCTTGAATTTTCTGGATTGGGTTATGGGAAAGATTCCTGTTTTTTAAAAAAAGGCAGCAATAGGTCATTTCTAGAAACTGCTTAAGTAAAGAGAAAGTGTTATCTGTTGACCAGATTACTTTTAAACATTAACAAAAAAAGTGTAGTAACAGCACTTGCCTTACAGAGTTCATCAAATATTTAAACGAATCAATGGAGATAAAACACCTAGAATTGCACCTGGCTCTTAATTAACACTATGATTTTGTTTAGTGAGAGGGAGCTAAGACAACATAAGAATGAAAGTGGACTTGTCAAGAAATGGCTCTCACCATAGAAGCAGTAAGGTGCTCTGCAAGAAACCACACATACTTCACCTTTTGCCTAGGATCTCATTTAGTTAAATGGAAAACAATCTCATTTTGTCAAAATTTGAACTGATGGAATCATCCTGAATATTTTTTACAATAAATCTTATGCCAAAGAGTGACATTTGTGCTAATGATTTGTGAGGCATGGAAATGAAAAGTAAAAGGCTATAGCTGGGAACAAAGAGATAGAGACCAGAGTTATAGTGCAGCTCAATTTCGATAGAAAAAAATTTCAGAATCTTTGTAAAAAAAAAAACCAAAAACCTTGAGACAAAAATCATTGATTAAAGGGAGCTTCTCAGGGCAAATTCTCTTAGAGAAATTTATTCTAGGTCAGATCGTTAGTTAAGTGGGGAAGCTTCTGGGAGGCAGTGATTGTAGAAAGAGAGGAAGAATGACAATGAAAATTGAGTTGTATAAAGAAATAAAGTGGACTCAACAGTCTAGGACTAGAAAAAAACTATCTGAACACAATACTGGCCATATATGAAAAGCCCACAGCTAACATCATCCTCAACGGTGAAAGGCTGAAAGCTTTTCCTACAAAATCAGTAATCAGACCAGGATGACCACTTTTGCTTCTATTCAACATAGTATTGGAAGTCTGGCCAGAGTAATTAGGCAAGGAAAAAAAAAAGCATTCAAATTTGAAAGGGAGAAGTAAAATTATCTCTGTTCACATATGACATGATACTGTATGTAGAAAACCCTAAAGATTTCACACACATACACAGAATTGTTAGAACTTATAACTAAATGTAGCAAAGTTGCCAAATACAAAACCACTACACAAAAACTGAATGTGTTTTTATATGCTAACAATGAACAATCCAAAACGAAAATGCAAAAGGTAATTCAATTTACAATAGCATCAACAGAACCAAATATTTAGGAATAAACTTGACCAAGGAAGTGAAAGACTTGTGTTTGAAAATAAAATGTTGCCAAAAGAAATTTAAAAAGACACCACTAAAAGGAAAGACACTGTATGTTTATGGATTACAAGACTTAATGTTGTCAAGATGTCAAACTCCCTGGGGCGCCTGGGTGGTGCACTCGGTTAAGCATCCAGCTCTTGGTTTTGGCTCAGGTCTTGATCTCAGGGTTGTGATCTTGAGCTCCTGGGATTGAGCCCGTGTCTGGCTCCACACTGAGTGCAGAGTCTGCTTAAGATTCTCTCTGTCCCTCCCTCCACTCCCGTGCTCTCTCTCTAAAATAAATAAATACATGTTAAAAAAAAAAGATGTCAATACTCCCCAAAATGACCCATTGATTCAGTGCAATCTCTGTCACAATCCTAATACTTCTGGCATAGAGAGAAAAATCCATTCTGAAATTTGCATGGAATCTCACAGGAGCTTGAATAGCTAAAGTAATTTTGAAAAAGAACAGAGCTGGAGGCTTAACACTTCCTAATTTCAAAACTTATTACAAAGCTACAGTAATCAGAACCGGGTAGTACTGTTACAAAGACAAGTATATAGACCAATGGAATAGGATAGACAGCAAAGGAATAAACCCTTGTATATATGGTGTCAAGACTGTTCAGTGGGGGAAAGGACAGTCTTTTCAACAAATAGAGCTGGGAAAACCAGACTGCTATCCACATACAAAAGAATGAACTTAGAACTTACCTTACATCATGTATAAAATTAACACAAAGTGGATCAAAGACCTAAATATAAAACTATAAAACTCTTAGGAAAAAAAACATAGGGGAAAAGCTTCAGGTCACTGGATTAAGCAATGATTTCTTGTATACAACACCATAAGCATAGGCAATGACAACAAACTAGAAAAATTTGACTGCATGTAAATTAAAAAATTTTGTATGTCAAAGGAGACTATCAACAGTGTAAGGGCAATTTACTGAATAGAAGAAAATACTTGCAAATCATATATCTGAAAAGGATTTAATATCTAAAATATATAAAGAATTCCTACAATTCAACAACAGAAATCAACCCAATTAAAAAGATGGGCAAAAGACTTGAATAGACACTTCTCCAAAGAAGATATATGGCCAATAAGCCCATGAAAAGATGTTCAATACCATTAACCATTAGGGAAATGCAAATCAAAACCACAATGACATTTCACATCCATTAGGATGAATATAACCCCCCAAGATAGAAAAGAACAAGTGTTGTTGAAGATGTAGAGAAATTGGAACACCCGTGCACTGCTAGTAGAATGTGAAATGGTGTGGAAATCAGTGTGCTGTTTCCTCAAAAAGTTAACATGGAATTACCGTATGATCCAGCAATTTGACTTCTGGGGCTATATACTGAAAAGGATTCAAAGAAAGGTCTCAAACAGATATTTGTACACCCATGTTCAGAGCAGCATTACTAAAAGGTGGAAGGAACCCAAGTGTCCATTAATGGATGAATGGATAAACACAATGTGACATATATATATATGTATATTTACATATATATGTCACTATATATAGTGAATTACTATTTAGAATAATATTATGAATTAATGCTATTATTCAGAATAATATCCAGAAATTCTGACACATGCTACAAAACGTATGCACCTTGAAGACATTATGCTAAGTGAAATAAGCCAGTCACAAAAGGTCAACTATTGAATGATTCCATCTATATGGGGTACCTAGAATAGTCAAATTAATAAAAACAGAACAGAGATGCTGGTCAGGGGAGGTGATGAGGAGATATTGTTTAATAGGTATGGAGGTTCAGTTTGGGAGGATGAAAAAGTTCTGGAGATGGGTGGTGGAGATGGTTGTACAACATGAATGTACTTAATATCACTGAACTGTACATTTAAAATGGTTAAAATGCTAAATTTTGTGTTATGTATGTTATTACAGTTTAAAAGATAAAAGACATTAAAACAAACAAAGAAGTGAAACGACAAAATTAGTATCGGTCTTACAATTGTGAGAGCTCCTTCAGATCCTTAAATACTTGTGGTGGAAGATTTTCAATCTTATTACTTCCTAAATCCCTAGGGAAATAATTGCAACCATGTCATATCAGTTTCTTAAGACTTTATTCATTGTTCTGTAATTTGTTAGGAAATGATTATACAACTTTTTAACAGTGCTGTTAGTTACATTAATTACCAGAAGTCTAAAAGTTTTAGAAAAGCGAGTGTAATGGGAAAATATAAAAATAATTTATCCCATTTCATCACTTCTTCAGAGACAAATGCTTGCTGATATTTTTTTATTTTCTAATTTAATTAATGTATGTGTTGTGCCTCTTTTCCCCTTCCCTTCATTCCTTTCTTCCTTTTACATTAGAGTAGGAATATGATTTGGAGCCTTAATTTTTGCACAGTTCAAACCCAAGTTGTTCAAGGGTCGACTGTAGTGGCTAGCCCAAACTTTAGCAAAATCCAATTGAGAAAATTAATAGTAAAACATAAGAAAATTGTCTGAAGGACATGTACTTCATCCATTGCCCAACATATATTTTATTCTGATAATCAGCTACTATGTGCTCGGGCCATAAAGCTTTGGTTTATAGGAGCGCTGTTTTAATGCCCTTTGGAACTGGGTCACTGATCTTAAAAAAAGGACAGTATAGACAGTTGATTTAACTTATGTGTCTCTTCCATTATTATAGGTCGGGATGTTATCCAAGGATGTCTAATTTCTTTGTGGATCCAAGATTATCTTCTATTTCCAGAATTAGCAAAGTATGTCTTTTTATCTTATAGTCTCTGAATCCTAACTCTTTAAGAAACTTAAAGACAAATGTGCTGTTCCTCTCTAGCAGAGGGACAGAGTGATGTAGGATGTATTTTATTTATTAAATTTACCCTGACTTTATTGTTTCTTTGTAGCTATGTTTCCTTTATCTCATTTTCCTCAAATAGTTATTGTATATAAATATATATATATATTAATGTGTATTTTTGTAAGCTATATAGAGTTCATTTATGGCTCAAGTACATACAAATAATGCTAGGAAAAGAGATAAATATTTCTCAAATGTATAAAAGCATATATGTGTAACAAGTAAAACCATACAAACAAAAGTCTTATCAAACTTACAATTCATCTAGCTTCTGGAGAGGTGCAAAAGTATTTTGATTTAGGTGATTAATTTTGTTTTTCCTCATTACCCTGAAAGTGAAAAGAAAAATATGTTGTGGCTCCTTGAGGTAAGAGATAAATGAGTTTTTGGAGGGAAGATTAACAACCGGAAAAAAAAATAATTATATATAGTGCATTTTCACATCATGTATTTTTAGTATGGTTACTTACCCAGTCTAATTTTAGTTTTAAATTTCTCAAGTCTTTCAATGATGATAAAAATAAAATATTATTCAAATTTTTAAGTGAGGTAGGGAAGAACTCTGCAAGGGAAATAGTGAAAATGTGAACTCTTGAGAATACAGACTGAATTTCATGCACCGGAGAGCACCGAGAACTGGATTAGAGCCGCCTCTTCTTCAGTCCGCCTACTGCGTCTCTAACAGAATACCCCGCGCGCACGCGCCCAGTAGCACTCATACGCATCTGCTAGGTGATGCGACTTGGGGTGGAGTTGCCTAAGGATGTCTAATCTAAACTGGACCAATTCAGAAGATCTCTAGTTTGGGATGTTGAACCAGACTGTATGTAATTCCTTTTTTTTTTTTTTTTAAGATTGATTTATTTGACAGAGCGAGAGCGCACAAGCCGGCTCCCAGCTGAGCAGGGAGCCCCCACTCTGGACTCAATCCCAAGACCTTGAGATCATGCCCTGAGCCGAATACAGATGCTTAACGGACTGAGCCACCCAGTTGCCCCACAGACTGTATGTATTTCTTGACCAGTACATTTCTGCACTGATCTCATGTATTATGAGCCAGCGTAAAGGAGTAACTCATGGAAAAGTGTTAAAATCCCGTGGCCTGGGTGGCTCAGGCCATTAAGCGCCTGTCTTTGGCTCAGGTCATGATCCCAGGGCTCTGGGATCGAGCCCTATATGGAGTTATTTGCCCAGCGGGGAGCCGTCTTCTCCCTGTACCTGCAGTTCCCCTGCTTGTGCTCTCTTTCTCTCTGACAAGTAAATAAATAAGATCTTTTAAAAAAAAGTCTTAAAATGTTTCCAATTCTTTAAATGTGTGATATTCTCAAAGGTTGGCCTTGTCCCATCTTGAAGTATTTATTTTCTCTCAGCTCTTCAAACCATTACCACCTCCTGCCAGTATCCCTAGACCAGAAAAGCACAAGCCCCTGCCAAGAGGGAACTCAAAAATGATTTCCTCACACAGAGGCTTCTTTAAGAACAAATAAAAGTAGAACAGCAAAGAAGTTGCAAGTTTTGGTCGATGTCCTTCAGGTGCAGTTTGGTTTCTTTTGGGCAGTTAGTAGGAACTGTTTTGCATGACTGATATAAAGCATCCTGCACCTGAAGACTGCTGAGCTCACTGTGCAAGAGTTCAAACATCTTAGTGGCTTGAACCCATTGGAATGGGGGATGCATATTGGAGGAAAATTTTTGTTTTATCGGTGATAGCTCTTGCATTGCCTGTACACAGAGGTCCTAGTATTATGTTTCTAGTATGGATTTCAAGATGGGTTCTGGGATGTTTGCAGAAGGATTCTAGTATAGTGGTTTTCAAAGTTTTCCCCTGGTAACTGCTCTTAAAAACATTGGGACATAACATACACCCACAGAACCCAAGACTCAAGAAACAGTACATTTAATTATCTGAACTGCATTCTGATACTTCTATTCAATTCAATTAAACTTTGTTCCATTAAAAAAGCAAGTCGGAAGACACCATATTGCTTTCATCACCCACTTGTGACTTTCAACCCACAGTTTGGAAAGCACTGTTCTAAAAGAATAACCCATAAATGAGGCAGTCGTGTTTTTATATTGAAAGAAGCTCCAGCCTCCTTCGCTTTCATGGAAAAATCAGTGTGAGTTTAAAATAGGCCAGAAAGATGTAAGGAGAAATTATACTCAATAACATTCTAAAGTTTATCCTGGTGTCCACAATTATATCTTCACGGGTGTAGACATTCTGTGGTATTTCAAAAAATTCTGGTTGTAATTAACTTTTTTCCACAATCTTTACAGTAATAATTTGCAAAGGGCAAACATTCTTACAGATTAAGACTAACTTAGTGTTTCTCAACTGAGATCCAAGGAGAGATTTTAGGTGGTCAATGAAAATTTCCTTCCATTAAAATGGGTATTATTTAAGTGTGAGAAAAACAGATCTCATAAATAGAGTACTGTTGTGATGATCCATGCATGTTGTGAATCTTGATGAAGCTTGGTGTGAACTTCAATAATTTTGCCAATGCACTTCAGTTTCAGAAAACCTCAAGTCATAAGTGAACATTTACCATAATTGCTGTGCATGTTTATGCTAACTTATGTTCATATAAATGATTAATTTTGTTTGTAAAGATATTTAACATCACTTCAAAAGGATAAAACACTACTTACAAAACAGTTAAATTACTGCAGGAAACAAAAGTCAAATTTCTTAAATTATGGATATGGTTGCCTTCAAAGTCCCTGAAACATAAAAACAAAAATGATAAAGCTAAATTTTAATCATAGAAATAAATTGCTCAAGAATTATTTGCTTTCTCATAAAATATCTTTTTTTCACATGCTGTTTATTTCATATAGATTCCCACATGTAGCCACTTACATAAGAGCTGAAATAATACATATATGTACTGCTTCTTTTTCTGTGTTCATAGTAAAAATGTTTTGAGTCACATCTGTATCATATGTTCATATGGGTACATATGTTATCCTGAGAAATGTGAAGAGAATGAGAAGTCAAATTAAAAAATTTGTTATGATAAATATCCACTTCCTTACCAGATATTTAATAGCGATATGTGTTAAACATCTGTCTACACCGCTCCCTTGTGGTATATTCAATAAACTCCTGTCCTTAAAAAATGACAACAACAAACAACAGAACATGTGTCTAGACTTACCAATGACATTTCTCTAAGTGGTGTGACCCTATTTGCTATAGAAGTCTGCAGAAGATTCTAATATTGCTGCAGAAGCTCCTGCTGTCAAAACAGTGTTTCACCTCTACGTCCCTTGCCTAAACACACCCTAGGAAAAATTCTCAATAACCTTTTACCACTGAGAACACCATTGTTTGCTTTATTATATTGCCACACAGGCCACGCTGTCCTTGGCTTTCCAACTTCCAGTTCAGGGAGATGCATAGAGACCCTACTTATGCTCCCTTGCTGTGTGATGCTGTCACCAGCAGGAGTCTGGTCTGAGAAGTAAAACGTGTCAAAAAACGTATATTTTAGTGTCTCTTCTTTATGGTGATCATGAAGGCATTCTTTTATTGTCTCTCTTTTGTCTTATCATTAGGTTTATGGTGGAAGTTTGTAGAACAGAGAGTTAGCCAAGGTTAGGGATATACTTTCAGGAGTAGGTCCTTAAATCTGTTCTGTCTACCCCAATACTTAGTTTTCTGGTCACCAAATAATATAGAGCTATTCAAGAACAATTGTGACTAAGGTATATGAGCTGAAGTGTGACACAGGTATGAAAATCTGCCAGGGAAACATGGGTAACATTAAAAGAAACACCTATATTCTGCTGGGTAGGCTACATCTGGAATAGTCAGTTCTATTTTAGGCATCGCAATAAAAATAGACTTTGACAAATCAAGGCATATCTGAACAATCTGGAAGACCAGGATGTAAGGGGCCTAGAAATCAAGTCAGTTGAAGAAAAGGGTGTATTTGTAATAGAAAAGAGCAAAATAAGAGAGCTATATTTGAAGTCAGGCTGTAGAAGATATCATAGGGTTTTTCTATGTTGCATCAGGTTGCAACATTAGATTTACTGGATGAAGGACACAAAATATTTCAAATTTCAGCTCGCGATCTAGTGTCCAGAGAATAATCTTATTATTGCTATTGATATTTAGTAGAGGCAATATACCACAACTCAAGAATTTTGTAGACAGGATTTCTGTACTATATGGAATATTGTATTAAGTCTTAAATCTTGATTCTAGATCATCCTTCTAAAGAAAAAATTCTACTGTCCTATGAAATTGGAAACTAAGTACTTATAGTACTACTTTTTTTGGTCATTAGCTCTGGTCAAAACTTCTGGTCTCTCACAATATATATTGTCAGTGACAGAGACCATCCATTTCTTTCCTCTTTTATTGCTGTTACCGAGAATCTACCACCAGGTGGTGATGCTTTCTTTCTTTTTTTTTTTTTTTAAAGATTTTATTTATTTATTTGAGAGAGATAGAATGAGAGTTAGAGAGCACAAGAGGGAAGAGGGTCAGAGGGAGAAGCAGACTCCCCGCCAAGCAGGGAGCCCGATGCAGGACTCGATCCCGGGACTCCAGGATCATGACCTGAGCCGAAGGCAGTTGCTTAACCAACTGAGCCACCCAGGCGCCTGTGGTGATGCTTTCTTAAGTCTCACAAAGTATCCTTAGGTGAGTTGATAGTTTTTCTTGTTAGTTACTATTGTAACAACTTTTTTCCTAGTAAACCAACAAAAATATTTAAGTTTTAATTTATATTTATATATATATACTTATATAAGTATATATATTTAAGCATTAATTTACTAATTTGTAAAAATCAGTAAGAGGCACACCTCGAGGCATCATTTAGGGACTTTTGATTAAATTGTCAGTTTAGGTTAATTTTGAGTTCATTTTAACCTTTATTGGGAAATTTATTTTTGCTTTCTTCCTAAAATGAGAGGTTTTAGTCCTTGATACACAGGGATCCGGTTTGAGGCATAAACTTGAAAATTTGTTTCTTTGATCTGAAGAACAACAGTAACAACCCCCAAAATCTTGCCTGTTTCTTCTCAGCTTCCTCTCTTATCCCTTAGTGGCATTCTAAACATGCAAATCTCCTTAACCTCTACTTCCTCCCCCTACCTTTGAAACATTTCTGACTCCTATTTTAAGGAGAAAATTGAGGTGATGAGGCAGGGAGAACCCCCAGACCTTCTACTCAACATCTACACACTTACCTGTATATGCACCTGGTCTCCTAGTCTCAAGAGGAAGAGTTGACCCTTCTCCTGTTTTAAGCTAATCCCTCCATCTGTTTCCTTGAGTTTGGCTTATGTATGTGTATGTCCTAAAATATATGATCAATTTTGGTGAAGTTCTTTGGACGTTGTTTGCTTTCAGGTTTATATCTATTAGAATTAGGTGCAGGTAAGTCTGGCAGACACCCAACCATAACAGCATAAATACATAACTACAGTTTGGTAGTCCAGGGCTAATTTGGTAGTTTCACAAAGTTGTTTCATGTTCACTTTTTACATGCCCTTGTCTTCATGGTCCGGGATGATGCTAAAGCTTGAGCCATCATATCCATGTTTTCTGGATAAGGAAAGAGAGGAAAAGCCTGCCTATTTCTCCTTAGGGATATTTCCCAGAAGTTCTACACTGTACTTCTTCCACCTTATTCACTGGAGCTTAGTCATGTGGCTATATCAAGATGTAGGAAATCTGGGGATGTCGTATTTTTGCTGGGCACACTGCTGTCCCAAATAGATCAGTTCTGTTATTGAAAAGGGACATTGCAGTTTGATATACATAAATTAGAGTTAGCTCATTAGTTATGTTATTTAGTTCTTCATATTCTTTTTGTTACTATATCAATTATTTGGTGCATATATATTTATAATGTAATATCTTTTGTGAGAAATTGCACACTATAGCATTTAAATGTCCTTCTTAGTGTTGTTTAATGAAAATTGGCCAGAATTTTATATACTTAGATAAAAAAATGTCTGTTTTTTTGTTTTTTGTTTTTGGTTTGCATATATACGGAATACTTTAGACCAGTCTTTTATTTTTGATCTGTCTTAATCACTTAGTTTTAGTTGTGGGGTTTTTTTTGTAAATAGCAATGAATTAGGTTTTGTTTTGTGAGCCAATGTGAAGATCTCTCTCTCTCTTTTTTTTAAAGATTTTATTTATTTATTTGACAGAGACACAGAGAGAGAGGGAACACAAGCAGGGGGAGTGGGAAAGGGAGAAGCGGGCTTCCTGCAGAACAGGGAGCCCAATGCGGGGCTGGATCCCAGTACCCTGGGATCATGACCTGAGCCGAAGGCAGACGCTTAACCATCTGAGCCACCTAGGCGCCCCCTCTTTTCTTTTTCTTTTTTATTTTTTTTAAAGATTTTATTTATTTATTTGCGAGAGAGAGAATGAGAGATAGAAAGCACAAGAGGGAAGAGGGTCAGAGGGAGAAGCAGACTCCCTGCTGAGCAGGGAGCCCGATATGGGACTCGATCCTGGGCTGGGACTCATGACCTGAGCCGAAGGCAGTCGGTTAACCAACTGAGCCACCCAGGCGCCCTCTTTTCTTTTTAATAAGTAAGTTAAACCTGCTTAAGTGTACTGATATGACTAATTTAGCTGACTTTAAATACCAGACTATTGTCTGCTATTTAAAAATATTACCACATGGTTTTTATAGGTTAAAAAAACTCTCAACAAATTAAAAAAACTTTCTTTTAATCTTTAGAAAGGTTTGTATATTCTATTGGTTATCTTTATAACTTTACCCAATACATCGTATCTTCTCTTTCTTAGAGAATAACAATACTTATTAATTTCCTATTATAATTTTTATTATAAGCAATGATAAAATGAGAATATGTTGTCTTCCTTTCTGCTCCTCTACTTTTCTCCCACCATATGATTTTGGTCAGTTATATGCTTTTTATTAATGTTTGCCTTAGGAATATCAAATATCCACACATTGGTAGATTTGTTGGTTTTAAGTGATGTATTTTGATTCCTGGATATTTTTCTTTATAGTTCCATGGTTATTGCTTTATTCATTTTGAAACTGTTTACTTATCTAAGATTATTATGTCTTCTTGCTGAATTGACCCCTTTATCATTGTGTGATATCCCTCTTTATCCCTGGTTATAGTCCCTGTTCTAAAGTCTATTTTTTCAGTATTATTTTGTAGATGATAAAGTTCCTTCTCATCCATGCCAAGAGAGCAATGTTGTTTTGTGGCTTTCCGTATCCTAAGCATAATCTTGTTGGAACAGGATCGTAATATATGTACTCTTTGGTGACTTTTTCTTTATAATTCATATTACGTTCTTGAAACTGAGCCATGTTGATTGAAGTAGGGCTAGTTCATTCATTCTAAATGCTGTGTGTGTATCGCATTTTATTTTTCCATCTGGGTCCATGTCTTCCAGCACCTTGCTCCATAATGTATCTTATCATTTTCTATAGTTTCAAATTCTTCATATTAGCTTCTCTTGCCTATAAATAAACCTACTTCGTCTCCCATAAAATAAGTTTAATTTACTCTCTTGATCTTTAGTTCACCTTTGGCTATTGCCCCATCTGTTCATGGGCTTATTTACTACTTATATGTCTAACTTTTTGAATTTCCAAACTTCTATTGTGGTGTTTACAGTTTTCATTTTTTGCTTTGAAAGAACTATAACAAAGGTTTTAATCTGTTGTCTGTCGTATGTCTTGCAAGCATATTATCCTGGGCTGTCATATGTCTCTTATTTTATGCATATTTTTCCACTAAATCAGTTAAATAATTTTTTTTTACCAACACATCTAACAGATTTTTCAGTTTATACTCTGCTAAATAAAAGTTCATGTGCAAGGTCTTTACCTTGTATTGTGATTAGTTTTAAAATAAATGAATATTTATAAAGCAAAAATTATTATTACTAGCATTAAAATTGGGATAATACTGGGCACCGGGGTGGCTCAGTTGGTTAAGCGACTGCCTTCGGCTCAGTTCATGATCCTGGAGTCCCGGGATCGAGTCCCACATCGGGCTTCCTGCTCGGCAGGGAGTCTGCTTCTCCCTCTGACCCTCTTCCCTCTCGTGCTCTCTATCTCTCATTCTCTCTCTCTCTCTCTCTCAAATAAATAAAATCTTTAAAAAAAATAAAATAAAATTGGGATAATACTATCAGGAATGCATATGAGATGACTTGTTTGGGTAGTTAAAATTTAAAGATAGTAACTTTAGTGATGAAATTGTAAAAAGTCTGCCTCTTTAGTAGTAAATCTTTTTTTTTTAGATTTATTTATTGTATTGTGAGAGAGAAAGAGAGCTGGCATGTGGGAGCGGGGGGAGGAACAGAGGGGGAGGGAGAGGGAGAAGGAGAGAGAATCTCAAGCAGACCCCGCACAGAGCATGGAGCCCAACCTGGGGCTCGATCTCAGGAGCCTGAGATCATGACCTAGCTGAAACCAAAAGTTGGATGCTTAACCAGGGGTGCCTCTGTGGCTCAATTGATTAAGCCTCCGACTCTTGATTTCGGTTCAGGTGGTGATCTCATGGTGGTGGGATCAAGCCCCATATGAGGCTCACAGTTCAGTGGGGAGTCTGCTTGGGATCCTCTCTTCCTCTCTCACTGCCCCTCCCCCAACCTGCACACATGCTCTCTCTCTCTCCAAATAAATAAATCTTAAAAAAAATAAGAGTTGGAAGCTTAACCGATTGAGCCATCCAGGTGCCCCTTTAGTAATAAATCTTAATTATTTAAAAGCATCTGGGTGGCTCAGTTGTTTAAGCATCTGCCTTTGGCTCAAGTCATGATTCTGGGGTCCTGGGATCCAGCACTGTATGCGGCTCCCTGCTCAGTGGGGAGTCTGCTTCTCCCTCCTACCCACCCCCCAAGCACAAGCATGCTCTCTCTCTCAAATAAATAAATAAAATCTTTAAAAAAATAAAGTTTTATCTGAGATGTATATTTGGCTGTCTTTTTAAAAGCAAAGGAAATGCTTATTAATGTATGGCATAATATCTCCTACATTTGCTTCTGGTCTCAGCGCATGAATTTTTAATTGCTAATTTACTTGTGTAAATATTAATCAATTTTGCTTTATTACTAAGTTTGGATTACTGAGCATGTAATAACTGTTTAATGTGTTTATTTGAAAAAAATTTAATTACAACAAAGGATATTGAACTTAATTTGCCCTTTTCTTGAATACTTTAGCTTGTCAACAAGGGGGGCTACTATGCTGTCATACCAAGACGCCCCCTGGACTCAGTAATGATTCTGGGGATGTTTGTCTTCCTCTAAATAGTTCCAAACTAGTGTGTTTTGAATTATTATGTCTGCTTTTTATAGCATTTCCCACTCCTGCTTTACTATCAAGTTGAGAGTTGTCACTTCACACTAATGTTTTGAACTTATCTTTCCCCTCTACTTTTTTTTTAAAAGATTTTATTTGTCTATTTGTCAGAGAGAGAGAGAGAGAGAGAGAGCACAAGCAAGGGGGTAGCGGCAGGCGGAGGGAGAAGCAGGCTCCCCGCTGAGGAAGGAGCCCGATGCAGGACTCGATCCTAGCACCCTGCGATCATGACCTGAGCCAAAGGCAGATGCTTAATGAATGAGCCACCCAGGTGCCCTTTTCCCCCTCTACTTTTAATCTGGCTCTTCTACTCTGCTAGCTTAGAAATCAAGCAACAAACAAAACTTCTGAGACTTTCCTACAAAATGAGAGACAGCGGAAGTTTTCATATAATACTGTGTATGTGGTTTATTGAATAAACTTTCAAATAGTTATTTTGGTTACTTATTTCTTCATTTTTACCTGCATTTTAAATAGGCAAATTTACTGGGTAACTGAGCTCTGAATAGGTAGAGTGATACTTATTACCATAAGCAAAGTTACTGTAAACATTTCCATGAAATATATTCTATTGTGATTAGACTTCAAAAATAAATTCTAAGTATCATATTCCCATGAGGCAGAATTTAGGAATGAGACTAAAGTGTCTTGGTTTTTCTGTATCAAATTAATAGGTGAAAACAGACCGACAGAAGGAAGGAAGAAAGAGATGTTCTATAGCTGCTGGACATCCCTTCTGTCTTTCTTCTTCCTGCCTCCAAATTTTTTTGTGCACGTGGGAGGTGTTTTATCTTGGCGAGAGTCTAGAGGAGTTGGTTTAGACAATGGGCACGTTTAATAACAAAACCATGCTAAAGTAATTTGAGGAATGTGATATGACATTAACAACCTATCATTTTTAAAAACCTAATATCCAAAATGAACTAGGCAAAACCAGGAAAGTTAGCTGACTTCTTTAAGAAAAGGTTCATCAACTTACAGCCAGTGCAGTCTTGGCATGTGCTGGCAAAGAGGTTTATCTGGTAAATGGATGAGGACGTTATTCATCAATGCTCTGAAAAAGAAACGAAAGAAAAGAAGTCACATTTTTCTGGTTCTTTTCTCATCTTAAGTCAAACATGGTATTATCATTATCCTTTTTGAAACCACCAAAATCTAATAAGTTAGTTGTCTTCTCTTTTTTTTTCTGTAAGTCTTGTTAAATTTAAGTGCTTGTTAGTAATAAAATTCGACAAATGATAGTTGTCAAATGGAGGAAGCAGCAATGTTAGTAACTGAAGGAAAGCCTGTGCCCTTCAAAAGTGGGTAGTGAGAAGGAGTTGATTTTCGATTAATGTTATTTTCTTTACCAAGATTAATACAGGGCAGTAATGGTGTGCTTTAGAATATTTCAATAAAACATGCCAGTAATTTAGTTTTGATGGGCTGATGTCCTAGAAGACAGAAGATCTTATAAAATCATTAAAACTACAAAATAGCCTCACAGAATATGATTAAAAGATGGTTGGTACTTGGAAAGGCCTTTTGGGGGCTTTAACAATTCCATATTTAATGCTGTTGAACTTAAAGCAGTCATTTTTTTTCATGTCTTTTCCTTCAATTGAAATATTTGCTTTAATTTTTAGTACTTACAAGAGAATAAGAGAATTTAGTCCATAAAATGTTAGTGGGGAAATTCGACTGAGGTGATTATCTTCAATTATCCTGCCAGCCAGAAGAAAAAATTGATTCATTTATATATTTAGAATATAAAAACTAATACTATAAAATGCCGCATAAATTAAACATACAGCCATTCTAGTCTGTGGAGATCTTCAAAAACACCCGGCTTCAAGAAAGTTATTCTGTTATGACTGAGATACCTGAAAAAAGAGAAATGACTCCAATAAATGTGTTACCTTCTTTTTTCTTGATTTTTTAAAGATTTTATTTTTCAGTAATCTCTACACCCAACGTGGGACTCAAACTCACAATCCTGAGATCAAGAGTCGCGTGCTCTTCTGACTGAGCCAGCAAGGCGCCCCAAATGTGTTACTTTCTTGATATCTTACAATAAGGAAAGGAAAAACAAGAATCATCCATCTTAGATTTTCTTATATGCTATTCTCATCACACCTTTTCCCTTCTTTTGGGTCTCTAAAAGGTCTTTGTCACTTACCTTTTTATGTCTAGATTTTAGTTCACCTTTAATCAATCAATCACTCTATTCATTCATTCACCTATGCCTTTACTCATCAAATTGTTTTGCGCACCTACTCTGTGGCACTATCATCCCTTTCTCTGAGGGGCTTTGAGTCTAGAGGGAAGACAGAATATGAACAAGTTATTATAGTAACGTGGGGAAGAGAGAGAAGTTTATAAGGTATGGTTGTTCTGACATTGCAGCGGAGAATTTGGCTTTGCTGGGGGTGGGGAGAGCAGAGTGTGGAGGGGTCAGGACACAGAAGCCTTTACTAAAGGGGGCACAATTGGATGCATGGAGATTTGGATGAAGATGTCATTCGCAAAACAAAGAATGGGTAGGAGTTCATATAGGCAGAGGAGATTGCTTATGCAGAGGCAAGAGGTCGGAGAGAGAGCCACAAGTGAGGGGATCACCAGGCATGTCAGTGCAGCCTCACCATGAAGGGGCTGGGAAGAGAGACGGAGGATGAACCTGGGAGGCAGGTGGGGGTCTGTTCTGGGAGAAAAGGACATTGCATGCCTTGCCAAAGAGTTTGACCCCACCTTACCTACCCAACTTTACTTCTTATCCTTCTTCAGAGTGAACCAACTCTGTTCTGTTACGTGGATCTCGCCCTCCCTTCGTGTTTATTCCTACCTCCGTCTCTCTAGGACAGCAATGCACTGCGTGACTCTGCTGTCAGCTTGAGTCCTGGCTTTGCTACTTATTAACAGTGTGACCCTAAGGAAGCTGTTAACTTCTGAAAGCCTCGGTTTCCCCAACTCTAAAATGGAGGTAATATTAGTACCTGCTTTATTGGGTTGTGGTAACATTGGAGGCAATGTATGACATAAGCACTCAGTACATATTTATTACAACAGCACCTCTGTTCATGCCTACAATTCTGATTTCTTTCCTTTTCTTTTTCCTCTCTGCCTATGATTCATATGCAAGTTTTAGTTGAAATTTTACTTCCATGGAGACATGGACCACACTGATTTCTCTCTTTTCTCCATTCTGACAGTTTTTAGAGTTGACATCTTATAAAATTTCTCCTGCCGGCTGTCTCCCCTGTCTCCAGAAAGTTTGACCTTTGCTTAGGGATAGCAAGAGATGATGCCCCGTATTAGAACCACTTCTTTCCCTCCCCTGTAAACTTGGAACCCCATTTAGGCACAGGAAGGTTGTAGAATCACTACAACGCTTCTCATGACCACCTCAGGGCTCTCCTTTATTTATTTATTTATTTATCTATCTATTTATTTATTTATATTTATTCATTATTTATTTATTTACTTGCTTTTTCTTTCAAGATTTTATTTAAATTCAAGTTAGTTAACATATAGTGTAGTATTAATTTCAGGAGTAGAATTTAGTAATTCATCACTTGCATATAACACCCAGTGCTCATCCCAACAAGTGCCCTCCTTAATGCCCATCACCCACTTACCCCTCCTCCCACCCTCCTCCCCTCCAGCCACCCTCAGTTCCCTATAGTTAAGAGTCTCTTATAGTTTGCCTCCCTCTCTGGTTTTATCTTATTTTGTTTTTCCTTCCCTTCTCCTCTGTTCATCTGTTTTGTTTCTTAAATTCCACATATGAGTGAAATCATATGGTATTTGTCTTTCTCTGACTGACCTATTTCACTCAGCATAATACCCTCCAGTTCCATCCACGTCGTCGCGAATGGCAAGATTTCTTTCTTTTTGATGGCTGAGTAATAATCTATTGTGTGTGTATATATATATACACACATTTTCTTTATCCATGCCTCGTTTGATAGACATTTGGGCTCTTTCCATATCTTGACTATTGTGGACAGTGATGCTACAAACATTGGGGTGCATGTGCCTCAGGGGTCTCCTTTTAAAGCCGATAGCAATCCCCTAGGTACATTTGACCCCCTCCCATATCCTATACCCCTCTGTTTAGCCCAGTCCTCTTTATTTTCCTGAGTCATCCTTCATTGCTCCAGACCCCAAATGGTCACTCATTTCAGTGAATCTTTTTTTTTTAAGATTTATTTTATTTATTTATTTTAGAGAGCAAGAGAGTGAGAGAGAGCATGTGCATGCACAAGCGGGGAGAGGGGCATAGGGAAAGGGAGAGAATCTCAAGCAGACTCCGCTCTGAGTGCAGAGCCCAGTGATGCCAGGCTCGATCCCACGATCCTGAGATCATGACCTGAGCCAAAATGAAGAGTCGGACGCTTAACTGACTGAACTGCCCAGGCGCCCTTTTCAGTGAATCTTAATAGCAGTTTTGATCTGAACAACACAGGTTTAGGATTTAATTAAGTAACTTCTTTTCATCATTCTTTAATTGTTGTGTGCATGCTGGTTTTGTTTCCCCGCCCTAGATCATAAGCTTCTGGGGTGCAAGAGGCATGCCTCTCTCTAAGTGGTAGCGTAGCCCTTTTCCTGAAACATTAGGGGGAAAGCTGCTGGAAGGCAACCTGTCTGACTTATCTTTCTATCCCACCTCCCTGTGGTGTCTAGCTGAAAAATTTACACACTCTAAGGGCTAATGAATATTTATGGAAGAATGAAAAGCAGGAATCCAATGATTGTCACTGATAACCTGGAAGTATGTAACAGCTTTTTTTTTTTTTTAAGATTTTATTTATTTATTCATGAGAGACAGAGGAGGAGAGAGAGAGAGGGAGAGAGAGAGGGAGAGAGAGAGAGAGGGAGAAGCAGGCTCCCAAGGAGCAGGGAGCCCGATGCGGGACTCGATCCCAGGACCCCGGGATCATGACCTGAGCCGAAGGCAGACGCTTAACGACTGAGCCACCCAGGCGCCCAGTATGTAACAGCTTTAACATCCAAACAATATTCCAGTGCTATGAGTAACCATGGAAGGAGATGGAGGACCCTTTAAAATTTGTGGTACTAGTCTTCACATCCGTTGAACTTTATACCAAATCTGGACTGTCTTTCACATCCATTGAACATTAAACCAAGCAAAAGTTTTGAACAGATTCATGGGGGATTGGAGAGAAAGATAGTCAGGAGTCTCGTGGGAATGAATCCAATGTGGACTTTGGGTGATTTGCCAAGACAGGAAAGAGCCGGGTGGGCTAGAAGGGTGGAGGACTTGGCAAAAGTGGTTACTCTTAGGACATCGAGTCTCCAGGGCCCTTCTTCCATTTTGCTGGTGAAATGATTAGATAGCTTTTCCTCAGTCTCAAACCCTCATGCCACAAACTAGGAATCTGACTGGAATGAGTTTCTTGGATTAGGATTAAAAAAAGTGGTGTGAGATGGAAAGTAAGGGGGCAGAAATAGAAATATAGGGAGTTGTTGATTTATGCGAGTTTTGGTTATATTTCCACGCCATTACTTCTTACAGGAGGTTAGGTTCAGCTGCTTAGTAAAACTCAGTGAAATGGAACTTTGAGAAAGCCAATCTTAAAAAGCTTTGCTAACTACAATGAAATATTACTTCATACCCATTAGGATGGCTGTTTTAGGGGAAAAAAAAAAAAAACCCAAACAACAAATCCCCAGAAAAGAAGAAGTATTGATGAAGATGGGAAGAAATAAGGGCTGTTGAAGTCAGGACTCACGCAGGAGCTTGTCTGAGTCGGAACCCCAAGGACACAGGAATGTGCTGACCCTTCCACGGATGTGGGCAGGAGGGCTGTGTGCAATGGACGAACTGTGGAATGGGCAAACTAATTGGCACGGGTACTTACAGTTTAGTAAGACTGTAGAGTCCTCTGAACGCATAGATGGGTACGGATCTAATCTTATTGTTTTGTAGGCACCTGTGGAGAGAATTATAAAAAAAAATCATAATGAAAGAGCGTTTCAGTTTTGCAAGATGTAAAGAGCTCTTTGGTGCCTGTAGCAAAACAGGAATGTATTTAATGGCTCTGAATGTACATTGTAATTGGTTAAGATGGTACATTTTACATCCTATGTATTTCACCGCAATAAACATTTTTTTATTTTATTTTAGTTTTTTTAAAAGATTTTATTTATTTATTCATGAGAGACAGAAAGAGAGAGAGAGAGGCAGAGGGAGAAGCAGGCTCCCAAGAAGCAGGGAGCCCGATGTGGGACCTGATCCCAGGACCCTGGGATCATGACCTGAGCTGAAGGCAGACACTTAACCATCTGAGCCACCCAGGCGCCCAATAAACATTTTTTTAATTAAAAAAAGGTAAACATAACACAATAAGTTAGGGAAACTAGATATCATGTCATTTTGTTTTGCTATTAAGTTCGGGTATGATTAAGCAAGTTTTATTTAGAAATTCTCGTCATAAGGATGAACATTTAGTAGTTAAAATTTAATATTTGAATTTTCTATAAGTAAAACTTTAATGCACAGTAGGCACTCAATAATCAAACAGTCCCAGAAGTCAGACTTTTTAACATTTCCTGCTATAATAGAAAGATTGGCATTTAGCAAAGAGCTGGCAAAAGTACAAGTATGTGATATCTTTAAGGCCCTGGATCATATTCTGTGTTAATCACAAATCTGCCCAACAAGTCAACTTTAATTTTGTTAATTTGACACCCCAAGCCTTGCTCCAAAAAGTGTTTGAGGAAGCTTATAAGGAGTATTTATGGCAAAAGAAAAAAAAGAAGTAAAGAGACTCAGGATTAGAAGAATATAAGTTAGACTGGCGCCTCAAGACAAGAATGCAGTCTTAAACAGGTAACTAGCCGTCCGGGATGATTGGCCTGGGGCTGACTGGAGGTCAAAGGAAAGAGGTACCGGAGCACAAGCAAATGCATCAAATGCACCCTTGCAAAGCTTTGTACCTCTGCGTGTACTGGCCCCAGGTTGTAAGAAATGACACAGTAAGGGCTTTGAGCCTGACTTCTTGTTCTGAATACAGGTCCTCATTGTCCTTTAGGGCGTTCCGAAGTTTCTATGTATATATTTTTATAAATATTGGGAGCAATAAGGAAGAAACCAATATGAACACATTTTTTTAAAAAAGATTTATTTATTTGAGAGAGAGAGCACGCGAGCATGGGGCGGGGGGGGAGGGGCAGAGGGAGAGGGAGAGAGAATCTCCAGCAGACTCCCTGCTGAGCACAGAGCCCAACTCAGGTTCGATCTCACAACCCTGAGATCATGACCTGAGCCAAAATCAAGAGTCGGACATGGGACGCCTGAGTGGCTCAGTTGGTTATGCGTCTGCCTTCAGCTCAGGTCATGATTCCAGAGTCCCAGAATCAAGGCCCGCATCAGGCTCCCTGCTCAGTGGGGAGTCTCCTTCTGTCTCTGACCCTCCCCCCTCTCATGTTCTCGCTCTCAAATAAATAAATAAATAAATAAAATCTTAAAAAAAAAAAGAGTTGGACACTTAACCAACTGAGCCACCCCGGCAACCTCAGCATGAACAAATTCTTAGTTAATTAGAAATTTTGACTAAATAGGATTCCCTATTTCTCCAACATGCAAGAAAACCTAACTGTGATTGTAAAAATGTTATTATTAAATTTATTATGCTTTTAACAATTTCACAGAACATGCTGTGGTTCCAATTACATAATAGGGAATGCATCTTTCTCACTAATACACAGCGAACCTTTAGCATGTATTTATTTGTTCCTAAGTATTTTAATGATTAGTGATTAATAGACTGTATTGCATGGAGGTTGAGCAAAGCTGTATCTCTAATAATCAGGTAGAATTTTTTTTTTTTGTAATTAGGCTATTTTGATCTACTAGTTAAAACAAACTGGCTGTTCAAGAAGTAATTTGGGGCGTCTGGCTGGCTCAGTCAGTAGAGCACGTGACTCTTGATCTCGGGGTTGTGGGTGTGAGCCCCACTTTGGGTGTAGAGAGATTACTTAAAAAAGAAAATCTTTAAAAAATTAGTTCAATGTTTATTATGTAAAAATACTGAACTACTGTGTTATATAAACCTGAATTTTGATATTTAAATTGGGAGTATTAACGCCTTTTAAACATGTGGACATAAGGTGGTGCTACAGATCAGAAAAATTCTTCAGTCTCCAAAAATCATAAAATAGAATACCGAAGCATCCTCTTGAAGTTTTTACATAAGGCCTAATTTTGAGAAGTTCTTCTCTGCTGATTGTTAAACATCCAGAATAAAGTTTTGAAAGTCATTTTTATTGAAATTTTTATTTTTTAAATGTGAAACATACTTTTTTGCAGATTATCTGGGTTTTGAGTACAATTCCTTGGATGAAGTAGATTAATTTTTCTTCTGCTTTTGCTCAATTTCTATTTGTTTTCTTAAGGAAGAATGTACAGATAGATATAGATCATCTATGTGTGAGGTTTCTTCAGTGTAAAACCAGAACTAAAACAGACATAGGTATGAAAATGAAACTAGGAATTCTGGGATGTTTTCTAGTTAGCATGATTCAGGCACAGGATATTTAAACCCAACAGTTCAAGTATGATATGATTTAGTCACAGAGTTGGACTAAATAGCAGGTAAACATAACCCGGGCCATTATGGATTTTTGGAGTATACACAAAAATGCTGAACTGATGGGAATCTAGCATGTCAGATGCTACTTGAGGCGAAAATAAAACAACCTGCATGGCAGATATGAAAATGGAATTAAGTCCCCCAAACAACATGCTCTGGGGTTTCAAACCACCACGACTTGCTCTCTTAGCTGGAGACTGAATTTGTAAACATGTGGAAGAAAATTCTTTACAGGCCAGTGTGTGGCAGGACAACTCAAAACTTACGTGCTCCAGTTTTTTTGGAAATAAGTATCTGTAATTTTTCTAGAATGGCTTCTAGAACTCCTCAAAAAAAAAAAAAAAAGTTGCCTGGTAGTCTCTAGCTAACAGCTAAATAATTTCCTGAGGAGGCACTAGACTTAATGGTATAGTGTTGGTCTGTGCAGAAGTGGGAAGAGATAGATAGGCCAAAACAATGTGAGTTAATTTTAACACTGGGAATTAAATTTTTTTCTTACAGCTTCTGAAGATTATGGTACTTCTTGAAGCCATCAGGAGGAAGCTTTCTTATTAAGTTCCACTGAAGTGACCTGAAATAAATGTAAGTTGTGGTTCTTAAAGTGTTTTTTTCTTTACTTTTATACTACAACAGTATAAATAATTCTAAGCTTTATTTACTTTAGCATCAGCTCTCAGGAAACATTTTATTTCATGATGTTACTCTCATATCCATAGTACCATTTGAACTAGGTCTAACTGTTAGTTTTGTATTATTACAGATATTTATCTTTTCTTAAATTTAGGTTACAACATTGTCATTCTAACAAAACACAAAAGTAACGAAACTAGGAAAACAGTTGTCAGTTACATTTTCTTTCCTCTTTTTATTTAACAGGAACTAGAAAGCATCTCATTTTTGAAGTGGCAATAAAAATAGTGTGTTCTGTTTAAAGCACATTCAAGAACTTAGGTAATTTTATATTCTTCAATATTTCATTGCTCACATCCCACTACCTTTACTTCCTTTTAAAATTCTTTATGAAGGCAACTGTCAATTGGTAAGTACAACTGAACCGTCTTTATTCAATAAGTGATTTCATTTCAATTTCTAGTAAATTGTATAGATTCACTTGAATCACAATTTGATATGTAGCTTGCCGCAAACCAGGTCCACATAATTGTGGTTCTACTGGGAAGGATTTAAACCTTTAATTTTTTAAAGAAAAGCAATGTAAGGTAGTAGGAAAAAAAAAATTAAAGAAGCAAAAAACCAAACCAAACAGAACAACACCCAGACCATTGCAGCTGGAGTCTCTTGCATGAACCATACATAATCTTTCCTTGTCAGTCTCTTTAGCTGTGAAAGCATCTATTTGTACTAGATGACCTGTAATAATATAATGCAATTGTTACTGTCTTTATAAGGAACAGATGCTCCTTGTTAAGTGAACAATAGACTGCATTGTGTGCAGGTTGTCTGCTGTGGGATATGCATTTGGAGATGCTTGATAGGCAAAAAGGACTCAGGTTATGACAACATCATACAGTAGGCACTACCAGTGTTAGTTGTTATGTTGGTTTGGACCAGTGTTGCTTAAACTTGATAATGAAGACTTCTTAAAGCAAAAGAGTTTCTCAGACTCCTCAGGACACAGTTTTGGAATCTAACTTGTGAAGTGCTATTCTAGAGTCTAGGAGACCATGTATCCTCAACAGGTATGTTATTGCTCCACGGTGTGAAAACTGGTTCTTAAGGAGGGAAAAAACATCTTACCTTTTTAAATGGATGAAGAACAGGTATACATAAACAGAGATACAGTATATGTGTTCTATTAGAATTTCACAGGAGGGGACAAATAGAAAAAAATGCCTAAAAGGGCTTGGGGGGCAGTAATGAAAAGAAAAAAATTTAAGAAACACTGTTCTGGACTATACATAGCAGTCATTTAGTGGTTTTTAATGAATGAATGCCAAAGGCTGATTAACTATGAACTCTCTCTTGAAATCTTTCTTAGCTGCCAGGCTATCACTAAATGTTCTTTCATTCCTTATGTTAGCTAATTGAGAATTCCTGTTCTACTAATCATTCTTCCTTGGCTTGGATCTTCAATTCTGCTTTACATCCTGTATTACATGTTTGTGTTGTATAAAAATGAACAGTTGAGTATTTGAGTTTGATTTAAAAATATGGATTAAAGCTTAGTGTGTTTTCAAAAATGTGCTCATTCATTCATACATTCATTCATCTTCTCAACATATGTTGAATTCCATTTGCACTTTGGAAGAAAAGGATAATGTCACTGCTCTTAAGAAGCTTATACTCTATTTGGGTGACAAAGAACATATTTTGTCTATAAATAGAGAGTTTTCTTTGGACCATGACTTCAGTTTTATAGCCCAGGGCTAAAAAGGCCATCATCTTGTTTTATTTTTTATTTTATTTATTTTCTTGTGACTTCAATTAAAAAACAGTGTGTAGAGCTTATTATACTCCATTAGGAACTTTGGAGGATACATAGAAAAGCCAAATTGTAGGTCCCCATTGAGCTTATGGCACTTCCCTTTTTCTGGTAGGGAAGATTAGGACTCCAATCACTACAGCACAAGGAAGAATGTTCGATGTGCTTCAGAGAGACACAAGTGAGGTTCTAATGAGAGAATCCAAGAGGAAGAGCCTAACTGCACGTGAGTGGGAAAGTTACTCTGGAGGGAAGGAAAGCAAATTTAAGGATTCCTTAAGTAATGTTTCTTAGAAAGTTGGTTTTTTTTTTATTGACAGTGCCTAGGATTTTTAGGCTACTTCTTTCTAAATGATGTCAAATATTTTAACAAATAGCATTCTCCATATTTTCATAATACCCTGTTGAAATGGAAAAAGGTAGGTGGTATTATTCTCAATGAATAGGACAAGCCAAAAAACTTTTTAATATGATAAATTCTTGTGTTTTAAAGTGTAATATTCCAAGTCTGACTCTTTACAAAGTGGTGTGTGCAGGCGAAAGAGAGAAACTACCTAGTTTAATTATTATTGTCAAAGCTAGGCATAGTTTTGATAAAGTTCTTACAATCAGATTATGTAGTTTAGTGATTGAATTCTAGGATCTGTTATAGTCAGCCTTCACACAGTCAAAACTACCAGTTAGGAAGCCAGAACAATGCATAAATAATCATATATTTGTTTGTCTTTTATGTTCAATTGCGTTTATGAATTGTCTTAAAAATCCCAACTTCAATACATATTACTTGGATTATTGGTTTTTTTGATACTTATATATGATTTAGTCCACTTCCGACATTTCCCTGTGAGAGTTCCAATTCAAGATACGGAACGAGCTCAGTAATAAAATTTGATATTTATTCTTCTAACATATTTGCTGTGAAGCCCACAGTTCCTTTTCTCTATGGAATTGAATGAAGGCTGGGGCAAGGTATGATGCTGAGTCAGAGTTCTGCAGAGTAAAGTAGAAATGGACAACCTGAATCAAGCTGCTCAACCCAAAGCACAAGAAATTGCTATTTTTTAACAAAAAATAAAGTGTTACAGACACAAACTCCTGAGCTTTATTTCTCCATCTTCAAATTCCTGTTGAGAATTTCTACTGACCTGTTCACTTCAAGTTGAAAAAGGCATCTAAAATTGGAGTCCTAATCTTTCCCACTTACTGTCACCCAGTCTCCCCATTCTCCCACCACTCTATTACTCAGGATGGAAACTCTGAAGTCATCTTGGACCCTTCCTTCTCCCTTGCTTCCCTGTAGCCCATCTTCAGGAGGAGCTGTCCCATCCCAATTTCTATACCAAGGCTTGAAAACTGGTGGCTCACAGGAGTGCACACACTTCTTTATGAATATATGTACGAATGGTTGTACAATGGCTGTATGAATGTATGTATGAATGTACTGAGCCAGAACAGTTTTTTACTTTAACTTGAATCCGAATGTCTTTGGGTATTCTTTAGGGGCATGAACTCTCTGGTTAGTATTGCCTATCTTCTTCCATCCCTCCAGTTCTATCTCTTTCTTCCTTTCTTATGCAAAGTTTAGCTAAGTTGTAGAAGAACGGATTCAATTCTTACTTTCAGGAAAGTGAAAAACGAGACTGGCAGCATCGGGGTATTCTTTGACTCATTTTCTGATAATTTGATTCAAACAGTGGGGGTGATAAATGTTTCTCTTTGAAAATAGAATGAAATCATCTCAAGTTTTATACCGAGCAGGTCCAGTCATGATTTAAATCGTGGAAACTCTCCACAGAACCTCAGATTATTATTTTATTCTAGTAAAATATTATTATTGTTTTCTAGGAAGACTAATTACTATGGAAGAGAGCTCTGGTGACTTGAGGATAGGATAGAATGTTAGCCTTAGTCCGGGTGGGACTGTCACTTGTTTCCTTTGGAAAACAAGTCTTTGTGGTTTAACCTGCTTGATGTTCTTAGCTCATTGCCAATTTGGATAAGTTCTTTAGGTCACCATCAGTTGAGGAAACCCACCCAGATTTTGTTAATTTAATGCCACCACTGTCTACAGGAACTCTGAGCTCTAGCTCTCTCTGCCTCTTATAGTTCAAGCATATGAGTTGCTGTGTTATGTGGTTTGGGTTGGCAAAGGCAGGACTTATTTGTAAACTTAAGAATTACTCCTATTTTGTCTTCTTATACTCAAAAGTCAGAGCCATACGGCACTAAAACATCTGGATGAAACAAAAAACTCAGCAAAAACATTGGATTAAAGTATCTACCTTCCCCTTATTTCTTTTAAAATGTTTCAGACAAATGTGTGTGACTGTGTTGCTAAAGTTTGCTGAATTCAAATTAGTACTGGATCAACAAACCACTTAGTATGAGGATAATTTTCTTCTATATACATAAGTTTGAGTTACTCGGGGTGGGGGGGAAAACAACATCAACATCTCTGAGCCAAATGTGATTCAGGAGAGTTAGATTTTAAATATGAATTCATAAAAATGAATATGTTATCCAATTTATTTCACTTGTTTTCTTTTTTTTTTATTCATAGGTAAGAGTGTTTACAACAAAGTTCTAAAAGAGCTCTTTCAATAAATGTCAGTTCTTGTAATAAGAAAACTCTATATAATAGTTTAACTGGCAGCCTTTTCTCTTTAGTAGCACACAAATGATGACATCTTTTGTTTAGATAAAATATGATACTAAATACTAAATAGGATTATTATGAAGGTCTAAATAAGTTACTATATCTAAATACTCCACAGGTTTATTATGAGGGACTAAATAAATTAATATGTAGAATAATTTAGAGTGGGGTCTAACATTTAATGAATGTAAAATAAATAGCAGCAATCATTATAATTGACCGAGAGCAATGACATCATCTTTGAATAAAAATGCATTAATAATGACAAGACCTTAATTATGATACAGTTTTACAGGTGCTATTCTGGCTGTCAGGATGAAGCCATTCTTTTCTACTTACATTACAGTCACATTTGAAGAAACTGACGGAACAGCTCGTAAATTGGTCTCATCACAGTCAACCTCTAAACCTCGGCAAAGACATTGCATGGGCACAGAACCGACCACTGAATAAGGAGGAAGTTGTAAGGAATGGGGGTAGTGAGGGACCAGGAAGAGGAGGGTGATGAAAAGAAAGAAATGAAAAGCTATGAGAAAATTATTTAGTACAAAAGTATGTTTTACCTAAGCAATATGGGCAATGCTTTAAATTAAGGTTACAAAGTTTGTTTTTAATTTAATGTTAAAATGATGCTACGACATTAAGATAAGAAAACAGACACATTTACCAGCCCATGCATTTCTGTAAATAGCTGACAGCTCTTCTCTGTTTATTGCAAAATGAATGAAGTCATCTGCTTTTACTCACCCGAGGAGAGTGGTTATGTCCAGGGGTGACATGATAGTGTGTGATGGGCTTTAATGTCCATTATTAAAGCTGCTATTTAAGAATAAAGTATTTATTAATGGCATAATCAAACCCTTAATGGAAGACTAGGTCATTTCTAACTAGTGAAGAAGAGAACTAAACACGAACTTATAGTGTTGGTAGAATTCTTTTTTTTTCTTCTGGAAAATTCAGGAGTTCTCTAAAGGATTATTTTTAAATGATCTTCTTGTGGCTTATGTGGGGATGTAAGGATGTCTAAAATGTCATTTATGGGAATGAACTTTTTTTATGCATAGCCAGCCATTCTATTCTCCCTGCTAGTGTCAGGAAGAGGGAGAACTGGGTGTATGACTTTGGCCATCTTGTGGGACTGCAGTCATAGTCTTAAAGATGTGATCCATAGTTCTAAAGTCTACTAGAGACTTGCAATGATGTGTTCATCTAGCTCAACAGTAGAAGAGGATTGTTATTCAGTATAATAGAGTCTGATTCCTGCCTTTGTGGGGGAATGGTTGATTAACGAGAACCACAAGGAGTGCTTCCCCTCTCCATTTACTTTGAGACCCTAACCCGTACAGCAGAGGTTACAGACTCCTGTCTGCAGGGCCCTGGTGAAATGGGTGTAGGCCTTGTCCAGATGTCCCAGTGGAGCAGCGTCTCCTGTCGTCATGTTAGGACAGGCGTATGTGTAGCCAAGTCAACAACTTTCTCAAAGAAGTCAGAAATACAATTCTGTGTAGATAATTACCTATTTAAAAAATGAGGATAGCCAACTCAAAATATTTTAAAACATCACAGAACAAACAAAACTTTCTATGAGAATTTTCTGCTTGTAGGCTTCCAGTTTTTGATCTTTTACAGTAAAGCTTCCAGAGAGCTGAAAAGTGTCTTAATGGCAAAGTAGAGATTTCTATGACGAAGCTGGTGGATGATTATTAATGAGCACAGCTGGCTAGTAAATAGGAGACTTTGACCTAGTAAATATCCCTTTGCTCAGCTATGGGGTGACAGGTGTTCTTCCTCTCCTCCCAAATAACTCTACCGCCTATTTTACAGGGTTACAAGCGATCAAAATCATAACTTAGGTTTTGTGTTTTCTGTAAACAGAATCTCCGCCAAGAACTTTTAAACAGTTTTATGGTTGTAAGTAACCATTTTGGCTGTGGATCTCTGAAGCTGAACACTGATTTTGTCTCCAAGTTATAAGCCACATCCAACATGAGTGTTGTGTGGTGGGGAGAATGTGGGTTGGGAAAGAGGGTGGAGGTTTTGAGAGTGAGACTAGGAAGGGTAAAAATGGAGGGAGTGAAATTAGCATTACTTCCAGCATGTTTTTTCTGTTTACATTGACGGAGTTAAGATAATTCACATATGTTGATTACAGGGTTACCTGTAATAGGGAAAAATGAAAAAAATAACACCGAAATATCCAGCATCAAAAGAATGATTAAGCACATTATGACACTTAAAATATATTATATAGTATATTCAAAAAGAGCTTGTAACAGCATGGATACCTGATTATGCTAAAATGCTAAATGAAAATATGATAAAAATGGTTTGTACAGGAAATTTCAACAATGTTAAAATAAAAAAGATGAATAATGTGCCAGCAGATTAATGCTGGTAGCCTCTGAGTGGTGAAATTATGGTTGAGCAAGCAAACAATTCTTTCTAAATCTTTGTACTTTCCATATCCCTCAAATTTGAACTCTAAAACTATGTTAATGATATAGTTTCCATATTGTTCCTGAGAGGTGACTTTATAAATGTGAATTCCTCACTTCCTTCACCCAGCCGAAAATTATTATAAGCCATTCTAGTTTAATTTCCAATAAATCCTTATAATAATCTGATTTAAATAAAGTGGTAAAATAGGAACTTTAAGTTTCACCCTCAAATTTTACCCTACACTTTTCATTCTGTTTTATACTGCTTTTATGCTTGAAAAGGACATTTAATTATTTATTACCACCCCTTCCTGAATTGTCTTTAAAGAACTCTAATTGAATATTATATATTTGTTCTTTACCAAAAACTGATAATTTTTTTTTTTGATATGTCATTTACTGTATAGCTCCATTCTTCCCATTAGTTATACTTAGGACACATTTCTCCCAGAGTTCAGGATTAGGCAAAAGTTACCTCTCTTGCTGACTTGATCTGTTTCCCCGCCCCCCCCATTTGTTTGTTTTTGCTTTACAAGCCAGGCTATAAAAGTTATGTAACCCATTATCTTCCTTCTTTAGCCTGATGACTACAAAATTCAGAACTAAGCTTTGGACACAGGTATTGAACTTTTCTCAGTGAGGATTTCCTTATATAATTTTTCTTCCCATTCCTTTCCCCATTCACTGTTGATTTTTATGTCTTATATATTATATTAATGGCTTAAGTCTGTTAGTATCCAGATTTTTATTGTAAACTGCCTAAAATCCAGTTGGGAATAAGAAGATATAAAAAGATTCAATTAAAATTTAAGAAATGAAAAGAAAAGGCTATCCAATAAAACAAAAAAAATAAAAACTATGTTTTGAGATAACATGGCATAATCCATTAATTTTTTTTGCATTATATTAGCAGGTAAATTATACCTGTTACCTTTTTTCTTTCCCAAAAGGTTTTAGGGATCAAATAATTTGGTCTCTGTGAGAAAATGTGAGGCTGAGACAGATTGCTGAGTAGCTTGTGGGTTTACAGGATGGATGTATGTTCCCTTAAATTGGGAACTGTTAGTAGCTTTTTATTAATCTCATTTGAATACTGAAGACAAAAAAAAATATTAAACCTTTTTAAAAAAGCTGGACTTCACAATTTGTGATAGAACATAAAGGAAAAATTATAGTAAAGGGTCCCCCTCCCCCCCACTATCTAACCAAGGACCAAATTTTAACTCCAAGGCACAAATTTACATTTGCATAATTAGAACAAACAAAATTTCTTTAAAGGAGTTGTTTATGAGATCTTCCTGTTCTAAAATATCACAGTCAGTCCTGAGGTTATACCCTCCCACAGCCCCTCCCGTGGTTTTGGAAGTTTTCAGCATGTGACTAAGCATAGCAGGTTATAATTAACGAGGCTTTTTTGCAGCTCTAAAGTAGTTTAGACCCCAGAAGCTTTTCACTTGCAAATATTAAAATGCGGAACAGCTTCTCTGTTCTTCTCTTTCTACAGTTTCTTTTGTATCAGAGTCTATAATGATTGTGAAAAAGGGACATAAGATAGCAACCCTGACTGATGGACATTAATTTTGTTCACAATATCTGGCATGATATATTGCTTTTATACTTAAGATCCCTGAGTCACTTTTAAATAAAATCCCCAAATTAAGGCTGCATGTCTAATAGAGTTTGCTGTTAGAAAACTATTGTTTACCATTTAAAAAAAATATGTTGGATCCAACTTTTAAAAACATGGTTTCTTTTTATGAACTCATGGAAATAGAGACTCAATCCTTCTGATTACTTACAGCATTCAGATGTTTGCGTCTCAAAGTGATATGGGGAAGTCATTCTGTAGTAATTGGTGAAATACTTGTCAAATTGCAAAGACCATCCATTGTTGTCACCTAAAATAAAAATCAGAGAGCAGAAGAGTTCAAGAAAACAGAAATATTCTGGTGTGTTGGGAAAAACGGTTCTTCTCTTTAAAAGAAACAAGAGATTCTCAGACCTAGTGAGATAAACATCATCTGGGAGCTTATTGACAAATGCAAATTTCTGGGTCCCCCACCTAGAGGTCCTGATTTTATAGGTCCAGATGGGTCCCCAAGTCTCCATTATGGGGACTGTAGGTGATTCTTCAGCAAGTAGTGTTTGAACCACATTTAAAGAAACAGTACTTTCTTAAGTATTGAAATACAACACACTGATCCTAGCATGCATATTAATTATGATTCCCTCAGTCTTCTTCTATCATTTAAACTGATGTTGGAGGTATGTCGACATGGATAGACAGTCATGATTGTTAAAGAAAAGAAGAAAAAAATAACATGCCCAGCATGATTGCATTCCATTTTTTTTTTCTTTTTAAAAGGGCACTATGGTGTCACATGGATGGTTTTAAGAGGAGTTCTCTTCTGAAGGCTTACCATATTTTCTCATCTATATTTTCTGATTTTGTATTCAACTCCTGTATAATTTAAAAAAACCCACAAGAATAGTAAACGTCTTTCTTTGGAGAGAAAAAAAGAAAATAATTTTTTTCACAAAATTCTTTATGACCTTTGAGTTATTTTTAAACATAAGAGACAATGAAGCCAATCATGTGATAGGATGGACTATGAATGGGACTGTAGGCACAACTTCTCCGGAGATCTTTGCAGATGGTACAAGCCTTCACCCTACTGGGGGAATTTGAATGTGATCCTTTCCAGAGGTTCTAAATTTTTTTCAGAATGCGGCCAGGACTCTTTAAGGATGCATAAACATATGAGCAGATGATAAAAACTATAAAGTTTATCCTGTTTTTATAAACTAGTATTAAATCTAGCATTGATTTTTTTTTTTTTAAAGATTTCACTTATTTATTTGAGAGAGAGTGACAGAGATAGAGAGAGCAGAAGCGGGGAGGAGAGGGAGAAGCAGGCTCCCCGCTGAGCAGAGAGCCTGACTTGGGGCTCGATCCCAGGACCCCAGAATCATGACCTGAGCTGAAGGCAGACACTTAACTGACTGAGCCACCCAGGTACCCCCAATCTAGCATTGATTTTATAAATTATTTCTGCCATGGATGTGTAATTCAAATCTGAGACTTAAATCCAGATATTACAACTTTGTACAGTTGTGTAGATTTGGTGACATGGTCTTGATCATATCCATGGTTCCTCGGTTTACCACAGGCATCTCAAATTCAACATTTCTAAGATGCAGTTCATTATATTTTTCCATATAATCTTGTTACTCCTCCTAAATTCTCTGGATTGGTGAATGGTCCCCACAATCTATCAAACTGCCTGAAACTGAAAGGTTAAATTTCTGGGAATATGCTCATATCTGAAGAAATATAATTCGTATGATTTTCCCCCTTCTCCAGGTTATTTTCTTATTTTTCCACACTCATTAACTCCTCCATGAAGATCATCTTTGGAAAAGGAAAGGTATAGTAACATAAATGCTATTTATACTTGTAAAATTGACTTCCTTTTCTAAAGAAACCCCATGAAAAGAAGAGATTATTTAAACATTGTATTTAAAATATTCTACTTCTTTTAGCATGCATCATTAGTTTTAAAACTTGTCTGTTACAGAAGACTTCAAAATAAAGGTAGCAAAGTAATAGAATGAGACCTCAGTTCAGAGGGAGATAAGTGATGGATGGCCCTCAAGTTTACCAACCGTGTTGGTAAAACCATTATTTTTATTTTTCATTTGAATGCAAATTTTATTTCACAAAAAGACAACATGATTCCTCCAAAATAAAAATCAGGAACACCTTTCCAGCTTTCATTCCAACCAGGCAGGCGCATTGTGCCTTCCTGTGCCACCACGCTCATCACACATTCACGGCGGCCCTCGCGGCTGGAGGGTTGGGCACCGCGAGGCTGCCCGGAAACCTCCGGAGAAAATGCACATTCTAAATCTATTTTCCAATCAAACTTTCCAGTGAATGTTGGCATTACCCAGGAGGATATGTGAGATATGTGTAAGGCCGAAACTCCAAAGGATCAAAGTGGTTAGCCATCAGACATAGTCCAGTCCCCAGTGTTGATTAGGCAGGTCTGGAGGGGGATGACCGGAGGTCAGGGTGGCACTGGTAACTGGCCTGTCCACAAACTCCACAGTGCACAGCTCTGGGCCATTGTCGCCACAGGGCGCACACACTCCAGTTACAGAACCTTGATGGTGTTTGGGGCCGATGTCACCAGGCTGTGCCGTGGCACAAATAGAGTCGTCTAGGGGCCCCGCGCTGGCCAGTATTACCTGAGGTTAAAGCCATTCAGCAGGAAACCCCAGCTGGGCACCAGTAACTAGGTGGCCAGGAGCAACATCCTAGAAATAGCAAATACCAGCCATTGAATACCCAGGAACCAGTTCAAGGTGCCTCCCCAGCCTCTGACATCATGAGGATGACTTCTCGAGCACAGAAACAGGAAGAAGGGGAGGAAACTGGAGAGACTGAGCTTGTACAGCCAGAGACTACAAGTTATTGAAACCATGGTGGATTTTGTGCAGTTTGCTCCTCCTCTGTTCTATACTGGGTTTAGAATGCTTTCATGTTCTTTAGAAGTTGGTAACTCAAATCTATGTTTTCCAGACCTCAAGCAGCTAGGGTTCTTGTTAGAGATATGTTTCTACCATTTGGATGCACGCAAGTGAGACTGGATGTTTGTAGATGCCCGTCTTGTGGGTCTCTAGCGCGAGTTGGGGCAGTTACTGTATCCTGCCTCATGGTTCAGTTTCACAGGTAAAGAGATGATTAACAGTACTAGTAACCAGTGGCAACAGTAGCAGATGCTTCTCGATCTAGAGCTTGCATGGTGGTGATTTGTCCTCACTCTTGACTCCTGCTTCTATAGCCTTTACAATGATTCTATAAACACCTTCTTTGTATGAAATCTCTTTTTTCTTAAGGGCTCCCCTCCAGACCCCAATCTGGAGTGGTTTCTGTTTCCTTCTCCCAGAAGAGATTGTGGATAAAGACCCTCAAGGATGGAAACATTGGATTGATGATCTGATCTGGTTGGTTTTGAAGATAATGGTAATACTATTACTATCAGAAAATAGGATGCTCAAAGGTTATGGCACACGGTGACAAAGGAGTTCCTTAAATGATCATTTATGGCTTCCTTATGACACGCCTCTTAGAAGGCTACACTCTGGCAAAGTGGTTGTTATGATAAATCATTAGAATGAAAATGAGGAATTTCAAGGGTTATGGAATAAGATAGCTATGGAGATGTCCTGGAGAGATTAAAGCAAGGAAATGATATGCCCGGGGTTTAACATTATCAGTTTGAAAAAGTTCAGAGAACCAGGGGGCTTCCATGACCACTCTAAGATAATCTTTTATATCTTGTGGTCTCAGAGTTGATGTAACCTCGAATCAGGTAGAATCTGATCCAATGGGTTACCAAGTTTACAGTATAAGCCTAATTCAGGTGTAGTTATCTCTTTTAAGTGAACATTAGGACCCTGGTGGAAGGAGACCCTGTGAACTGTGATGGGACATTTGAATGTGTTGAGTTGAATTTGAATACTCTAAATCCTTAGCCTGTGCAACCTCTCCTGTCAGCAGAAGCAGCTCCCTTCCCCTGTCCCATGAGGTTGGCTGTAGTTTGTGGGAGACATGTGAGTTACTTTACTTGAGGTGAATAACTTGTGAAGTCTCTCCAGGCCCCACACTTTGAGCATTCTTCTTTGACCCCCAGCCTATTATAAGCACATCCCACATCCCAGAAGCCAAGGACAAGTTGGACTTAGAAAGTGAAGACTGACATACCAAAAGATTTTGCTCTTTTAGATAAGCAGAAACCCAAGGAAATTGTGCAGGAGCAATTTCTGAGCGTGCTAGACCAGGAGGAGAGACTATAACTTGGATTGGGCAAAGTTCATCAATACAGGTTTCTGGATTCAGTGTGCTAGCTCAAGCAGTAGTTTGCCAGATTGTTGACTGAATCCAGACTCAATGTTACCTTAGGCTAAATAAAGTTGAGAGGGTAATCCTAAGGGGTACTGATTGAGTCACCGAAGGGGTAGATCACAACGAACATGGCTATTGCGTTGTAGAGCTGCAATGGACCTGTGGTGGATACTGTAGATTGACTTGCTCAACCTCCATTCAGTTCCCCCTTCATTGGTGTGTTCCTGGAAAGCAGAGACTGAAAAGCTTACAACAACATCTCTCATCTCCTTCACGGCCAGGATGGGGTGCACTCACACATATTTTGGCTGCTAGAAGGGAGGTAGAGATCATTTTCCTGCTGGTATGTCTAAAACAGAGACATCATATTAAGAGGCAATCACGGCAGCGGCAGGGCAATTTGGGTACCAGCAGCTTTGTGGGTGCGAAGAGGCAGTTGTGTTAGTGGTAGGGGCATCAGGATCAGCAGTGGTGATGGTAGCCACTGTCTCAGTCTCTGGGTTGTAGCTAGGTGGTGTGCTGTTGGATTCAATGACACCAAGGGGAGCTTTGCGGACGCCCAGTCCCAGCCAGACTGGGAATTTTGTAAGTATCTGATTTCTGCTTAACATACCTAGAATGCGTTCTGTTTTATGCATTAAAACCCTGATAGATACAGAGACCCTTTGAATTATTGGATTAAAATGTGGTTTAAGTGTGATTGGACATTTACAGCATTTGGGGAGCTCAAGTGGAATCTCAAGAGTAAGAACAAGGCAGTGCATTTTTTCTGAAACTGAGCTTCATTGTAGTTTAGTTTTGTGGTCTTGCTACAGAAATGATGACACTTTTCAACATTTTTCTTCATCTCCCATGTGGGTTCTGGGGACAGGGTCAGGAGCCTTACAAAATGTTCTACTCTTCTGGGCTCCAAAGTTATCTATTTGTATTGCTTCTTGGCCTTTTGGCTAAGATTGAGTGCAGAATTTTCTATTTGTTTCCTTGCCT